CCCACTAACCCTGTATAATATGGTTTTTAGCGGGAGAGTAAATTAATTAGATTTTTGTGTTTGATTAATAAACATCGTTTCATAAATTCGTACCCATGTTTTATTGAGCTAAAACATACCTTATAATTATTGCTTACCTAATATTTACAAATACTTACATAATCAAATTAATAACTTAAGTATAATAACGCATAGGCGTCAATTTTACGCTTGGCATAATGGGCATTGAGCGATACGTGCTCTTTATACCTTGCTTATTTGTACTCTAAGTTCTGAATGAATACTCTTTATCTATTGTTCTAAAGGGTCCATTAATTAAATTACTTTATTATATACTCTTTGTAGGGGTCATAAATTTGCAAAGTAAGAAATCCAAATGGATTCGCCGAGCTTTGAAAGGTAGTACATAAGATCATAAGAGTCGTGGTAGCCCGGTAGCTCAGATGGTTAGCGCTCGCTGTAAATTTTACAGTACGTAGGAAACCCGGGTTCGATTCCCGCTGCACCAATGCAATTGTTAATTGCAATTTTAAGTGCTGCTTTACCACGTGCTCGGCGGTGAAGGAAAACATCGTGCGGAAAACTGCATGTCTGAGAAATAAGAAAAAAAAAATTCTAAGACATGTGAAGTTCGCCAACAATGGGGCACATTGGGGCAGCGCGGCGGACATTTCCTTGCCCTAAACCCTCTCAGAAATAAGGGGAGGCCTGTGCCCAGCAGTGAGACGTATATAGGCTGTAACTTTACTTATACATATCAAACAGACTGCTGAAATGATGCGAATGAGCTTAATGTGCAGTTTCTTTGAGTTGAGAAAGTGGCCTGTATTCATGATTATTATTAGAATTGTTTATTGTTACCGACGTTCACAAAATATTTATTTGCTGTATTTGCTGATATAAGCGGCGAGGATTTATTTTGTAATAATTCTGATGAAGATTTATGCTGTTGGGATATAAATACAATATTTTTTACATGCCGCCAAATATTTTTATTTTCTCTGCCAGACTTTTTCAGTAAGTTTGTAAGATAATATAAATTGTTTCAAAAATTCCTGTATGTACTTTTTTAACAAATTGTTTCAAAAATTCCTGTATCTTTTGTATGAAATTTGTAAAACAGAATTATCTGAAGAAGATTTTGCCATCAGGTGTAGTTTGTCCCTATGTTTCATGCACTTAATTAGACCGGGTGTAATCCAAGGCTTTAAGTTATATTTCTTTAGCTACTATGGTATACGAAGTATTGCAAACAATGACATCTCATACGTTTTATAAACTGGGCTAAACTCAATGTTTTGAATTGCATGTTCAAGGTTCTTCATATTAGTTTTAGGAATGGAGTATTTACACTTAGGTTTAGGTATTTTGAGGCTTGAGAACTACGGCACTGTGATAGCTTACTATAGCATTGGTGACAAGAGTATGAAGAAGAGATGGTAACTTAGTTTTCTGCCGACTTCCAAAAATGAGACGGTACTCAATTCGACTGTTTTTTTCTTTATGTGTGTTACCTCATAACTTTTTACTGGGTTAACCGATTTCGATGATTCTTTTTTTATTTGAAAGCTGGTACTTCTCGTGTGGTCCCATATGATATATATATATTATATAATAATTTGATCAAGGTCAGATCAATAGTTTTTGAGTTATTCTTAATAACTTATATTGAAGTCGGCTGTGCAAAATTTTTAATTTTTAATTATTAGTAAAGTGTGGTCTAAACAGGAAACACTTAGATGAGTAGGGAGCAAAATAATGTCCTGGAAGCAGGGCCTGGCATGCACAAAAATATTAAGGTAGTCTTTTGCTCCGCCATCAACGACTTCTGGGTTGACATCTATATTCATATCACCCAAGAACACTATATTTTTGAATGGCGACAGTTGCCCAAGTGTATTGTCTAATGACGTGATTTGTCTATTTGTTTAAAACTACAAGGTCTGTAAACAGTAAGGATAGCAGTTTCATGGCACACTTTCACCAATAACCTAATACAATCTAAAATATCAGGTTCTTCAACTGATGTTTATTTTTTTTTCGCAAAGTTTTACTACACCGTCATTTTGGTTATATACAGTTTTACTACCAAAAGTATTGGATCCTGGCAGTGATGGCAGGTTGTTTTGGTTTTAGATCGCCAGCATACTCCTAGTATGATAACATTGCAGTCAGTGTCCAACCTTCGAAGGAGGATATAGAAATTATCCATGTTTTTATTTATACTACGAATGTCCTGTGTTAAAATAGTAAGAGTTTGCGGCCTTGAAGAGATATTCCTTGCACATATCGATTTCACATGTTTTCGCCACTGATAAACAAACAGAATAGATTTCATTACTTAACTTTCCATATTATTTTTCTTAATAAGTAATTACTTAACAACAGAAATAAAAAATATAAAAAAGACAGGGAAAAAACAATAAACTAAAACTTATAAATTAGGGCAATAAGATTAAGATGAACGGTGGCACTTTTAGGCGCCCTCATTATCATCTATGGAATCAATGTACCTAGTTTGCTAGTTTCAGTCTTCTTAGCCGGGCCATTCAGGGTGACCTGTTTTGTGGTTGCTCGGTTTTTTAAAATCAAGCTTTCTAGTCAAGATATTAATTACACGCTATAATTATAATAACATATTGTGGAATATCAAGGGATGACATTTAAATAAAAGTCATGATTAGGATTTTGTTTTATTTAGACTTCCCAAACGCTGCACTATATACAGTAATAACAAATTAAATTAATCTTCGATCAAATTGGAATGATCAAACAGGACTATAATAGGAAATACTTCAAAAAATTTGACCAAATAAATGATAAACACCACAAAAACCAATAATTTTAAACTTTTCCAATAACAAATAACATTTCAGAACTTAATATAATGAAGTATGTACATAAAAATTTAAAGATCTAATATTTAAAAATAACGTAAAATAAATATCACAAATCTGAAAATAAAATAAAAAAGGCAGTGAGATTAATCCAGCAAATTATAAGAATGTCAATTGAACATTATTTGATTCTTTGTCTGATCTGGATTAAATAAGGCGTGTGTTGAATTCCACATATTACAATGTGTTTTTCGAACAAATGTGTCCGTCTTATTTGACATTTGAAGCATATTTTACTAGGTATATCAAAATCATATGCCTTTTTTATAAATATGAATATAACCTGCGCAAATAAACTTATTGAAAACGTGACTTGTATTTACATATCAGGCTGTAAGCAATATTGTTCATTAGCATTTAATATTTTAATTTTATTAAAAATGTCGTATTTTGAGCCGGTTGTTCCTAGTATATATGTTTCTTATTTATTTCCATTTCACTAAGAATATTTCTATTTTGAGATTATAAGAAATTGGAAACTAAATAACAATGGCAAAAAATACAGAACTCTACAATAAATTTATGATAATGTAGACATCAACACAGTTTTTTTTGCTGACAGTAAGGATGTACGTAAGTTATGACAATATTAAATGCAAATGAAGAGCAAGATTAATTCCGTTATTTTGAATACATTTGTTACAACTATTAAAATTAATTATTAAACTATAATAAAATAAAAATTTTGCTACAAATTTTGTTTGTAGATGGCCACTTTTAGCAAAACAAATTGAAGAAGTACATATTTAAAAATAGGCTAAAGTGAAAATCAATGTCATATCACATCATAATCTATACAAATAAATAAAATTGAAGTGTCTGTTTGTAATGTCAAAATTACAGTTTTTTACTAAATGCATATGAAAGTAAATACGATACCTATAACTAAAATACAATTTTTAAAATTTTTGTCTGTCTGTCTATCTGTCTGTCTGTCTGTCTGTTTGTTCCGGGTAATCTCCGAAACGGCTGGACCGATTTTGACGGGACTTTCACTGGCAGATAGCTGATTTCATAAGGAGTAACTTAGGCTACTTTTATTTTAGAAAAAGAATCAGGGTTCCGCGCAGAAACATAAAAACCCTAACACGCGAACGAAGTCGCGGGGAACAGCTAGTATGTAATAAATACAAACAATAATTTGTTAAATGATATTTTAGGTCAATATTAATTAGCTCTATTTGATAAATTAAATCTATTTGATTAAAAATGATTATTTATTGATGACCAGCTGTTTATTTTTACTTTTCTATGCTTAAGAGGAAAATATAACATTAGTATTGCAGACAAATACGCCGAAAATCATACAAAATCACTTTTTTTTTCTCACAATTATTGGTGTTAATAAGGAAATATCTTTTTGCGAATATGTTGATTTTTTATTTTAGATCTAATATTGTGATATGAAAAACACATACATCAATGAATTCTTTATCAATCTATTTTTTTTCATATGGTTTACTAACAGTCAACATTCTCAAATCCTAATTTTAGTCACAAATAATAATGTAAAGAATCACGTCGTTACAATCAGATTTATGTACATTTTTAATTGATAAAACGAATACAAATATGAATGATCGCATTCGAAGATTGTAGTAGTTATTCGTTATCCGCAGACTCCATGATATTGCTGCATGTTGTAATGTAATTTTAAGACAACTATTTCTGCTGAAACTTGGTGGTCATTTAACAGTTATAGGAAATCCTTAAAATGTTTTAGTTTGTTTAAGCTATGTTTTTAATTCTAATTATATTCAGTTACTTGCATTGGCCAAATATCGGTAACAATATTCGTACTTGTAAATGTAGAACAACAAATACTGAATTCTTCAAACAATAGTTTAAAATTTAATCCATATGACGTGGAAATTAATATAATAATATTATATATGTTTAAGTACATTATGAATATATTCAAATTATAATATAGAATATATAAATGCTGATTGGGATCATAACAAACAATACAAATAATAAAAATAAATAAAATTAGGTTATTATAGGTACAATTTTACTTTAAGATTTTACTGGTCTGAATATTTTAGTTTTAATGTAAAAGTTCTTTAGGTTTCTGTAGATGTGTTGTAGATTTTAATACAATTAAGAGGTACTGGCTGGACTTTGAGCAATTTTCATCTTCTTTTCTGCAATCCACGAGTGAATTTTTTCCTTAAGCTCTGTGTTGGATTTCACTTGGTCCATTGACAATGGTGACCGATTAAAAGGATCAGACTGATCACTTAAGAGGTGTCTGTAACAATTAGTAATAGTTTTAGTGGGTGGGACGCGAAACCTTATTTGAATAATATTTTTTAAAAGATTTTCGATAGTAAATGAAAAATAAATAATCAGTAATATTCAAGTAGAATAATAAAATATACAAATAAAACATTAAATAGTAATAAGATACATTAACGTTGAAAACACCGCAAGATTGCAGCGCACAGCAAATTTCTTTCGCATGCATGGAGTTGCGCAATAGTGTAAGTAAAAAAGAAAAGTTATATCCTATTTAATAGGTACATCTAATTGCAGCGCATAGACCTCTTCCTGTTTCTTAAGGGTTTAGGGAATTTTCTAAAATCATTATGGCTTAAATACATTATTTATTTATCAAAAAAAAATTACCCTTCAGTGTGGACTAAGGAATATACATAATTGAAAAAAATTAATAACGTATTTATTAAAAAATAAAAGCAGTAGAAAAAAGTTATAATGTTTAATATAACTTTTAGTGCCACAGAAAAGTGCGACAATCAGCATTTGAAATGTACGAAGCCCTCCCATCTTTCATTGTTTGTTGGTCTGAGGTCACAATTAATATATTATAAGACCCGTAATCAGGTATACTATAGTAAAATTATTTTGTCCGTGCAGTTGGGGTCATAAATCACAACTCGGCCTCAGCCCGGCTAGGGCGGTGAGCATGTTGCGCGGGCGCAACGCCATTATCGATAACAACAAATGAATCATCGAAGGCAGGTACATGGCAGCGGTGCGGTATACAAAGGCTGATGCGACATTGTTATGTTATGCCACCAAAAACAGCACTTTTAAAATTGCAGACGTCGAAGTGTTACTGCATGAACCAATTTCAAACGTTTCGCAAAAGAACTGGGAAGATTATGTGAAGCATGCAGAAAAACTCCAAGAGGAAGACTTGAAGAAATCTCATCTGGCAGAAGATATCGTAATTCATGTCGATGACGATGACCCTGATGATTCTGATGTAGAATTTTAATGTAAATAGTTTTAGATTTAATTTTAGATATTAGTTATCTGTATATTTATGTTTATAATTATTTTTAATATAATTTGTTACATTCCAAACATTTGTACTTATAGTTTTTTTAATACATAGATACCTAATTAATAATTTATTATAAATCGTTATTATTCTTATTTTAATACATACGTTGTTTTATCTATTTTCTTTTTCATTTTTATCACTAACCCACATAATGACAAAACTAAATGCACTATCGATAACACTTATCGACAACAATCAACAACGAGCATCACTATGCTCGCTCCTAAGGCCCGTGAGTGGGTGAGAGAGCGAAATACTCCGATGATTTATGACCCTAACTGCACGGACAAAATAATTCTAGTATAATATAATAGCCAAAGCAATGATAAATGAATAAAGCCCGTAAGAAATAAATGACTTTTTTTAAAATGTAAATGAATATTTGGAAACATCTGATGGTTGATCTGTCTTCATATTTTATTTTATTATATATGAAGATATTTAATTTTATTATATATGAATTTTATTATATATAATTTAATTTATACCTCGAGCGTAATTATTCTATGGTCCCGATATTTTAGTTTTTCTACGTTACTTTTTTGTTTAGGCCAGTTATTATTTTTGAAAACCTGTTGATGTACAGACATGAAAAAAGTATAATTTCTAATGGAAAGAATATGAAAAATAAAAAATAAATACCTGGCAATAGTAGTACGATCAACAGTGGTCCTGGAGCTGGGCAGTATGACCGGGTCCAACATCAGAGTACTCATGATAGGGTCAAGGAATTCATCGGGTGCGTTCGCAAGGATCTCCTCGTCGCGTTGTTTTTGCTCTGCTATCACGCTGACGCGGTTTGCCACCTCCTGTAGCGAGCTTATTAGCCCTCCTCCACCAATACGTACTGTAACATTTAATATGACAATCTAAATAGATCCTATAATTGTACAAATCTTCTTTTTTGCACAGGTATGAAGCAAACTTGAAGTAAAAAATGTATCTGAAGAGCAGTTATCAAATAAAATTAAAAGGTTTATGTTGTATTTTGTCATCGTTTTTACAACATCATAAAAAAAATCTTGCTTCATTAAGGCGCAGGTTGAGCAAAATGTCGCGCCAGTCGTTATTTGGGCAGTTTTTAAAAGCTATCTACTTTTTATTTAAAAGATATATCAACAAATAAAAAACACATTATATTTCTACATAATCTTGATTCCATAAAAGCTATATCCAATTTTTTTTTAAAGGAATAAATATTAATATAATCTCCTTACAACGAAACCACATAAATGTGAAATTATTATTGATAACATGCATCTCCTCGTAAAGTAAGTATTATTTTATTTTGCGATTTACACCAATGGATAGGCAATTTATTAATGAACATTTCTATAGTAAATTTTTTTTCAAAAGACCAATATTTGATTTTATTAAGAAATTATTTTAAAATCTGGGCATATTTACTGCTCACGGGCTTGGTGAAGTCAGTGAGCGCTGAGCTCTTCGACGAGAAGCCCGTGTCGTTAGAGCGTCGACCAACGCATACGCCACGTCATATGAGTCGATAATATTATTACTTATTAGATTATTTATAGGTAGTATTATTTGTTTGTTTTGGGTATAATTTTTCGTATTAGTTATACATATATTTGTTGTGCTTTTTACTGCGCGATGAAGCTTTTTGCGTGTATTTTCTTTGAAGTAAATGCAAATAAAAAAATGAAGCACCATTAGCATGTAAGGTTCGAAATTTCGAATCCATAATTAAAATTTCGACAAATATTATTAATTTACACTATAAAAGGCTAATTCAATATTATCACCCAACCACAATATCTTATCAGGTATAGTGCTGCCTCGTTGGTCTAGTGGTTGTAGTAGTGCGACTGCTGATCATGAGGTCCCGGGTTCGAATCCTGGGTCGGGCCAAAAAGTCAGTTACGAGTTTTTCATTTATGTTCTAAGTTATAATTAGTATTACTAAGTTATAGTTTTTTGCTAAAATATAGTATATTATTTATTGCTTGTTTTTTCTTCTTTTTCAAAAAATAATTGAGTACATAAGGTGTTCTATACTTATAATTCGGTAAAAAGTACTAATATACCTACTTTTTACTATAAACTAAAAATTTTTAAAACTAAATTTAACTAAAAAGACTAAACTGACCATTTATTTTTTAACTCATAACAGGACATGGGTTTATTTATACTCTAAAAACTATAACTTTATACAATTAGTGTTCACTATAAAATTATATTCGGTATAGACGGTAATTATTAAATGCAACATATTTTTTTTAATTATTAATTACATTTGTCAGTGGATTAAATTTGCTGTAATAAAGTTGGTGATGATTTTAAATAAGAATAAAATTCTGCTCAAGTTTTTTATTGTTATCTTTGTTAACAACATCGCCTTTAGAACTCTGGAACCGTAAGTGTTTCTTTCAGACGTCCACAATTTATGCAAAATAAAAAAATACTCTTTCTACCGGAGCATTCGTACCAGGTAGACATAAAATATATTCGATTAAAAAAACTATGTTGAAGATTGTTGACTTTGAATACTTCCATCCAACGAGTTACGGGACAATTTTGTGTCCCGGAGCTTTGTTTGGGGACAATGGGACAGGAGACCGAGAAAAGGGACAGTCCCGTTCAAAACGGGACGTATGGTCACTTTAGCTATAACCCGGCGACCATGAAGCAAATACAAAGTTAGTTTTTGTATTAGCTTCATGGTGGCGCAGTGGCTTAGCAATCAGTTGTTGCGCTGGGGGCCGCGGGTTCGAATCCCGCATGGAACAAGTATTTGTATGGCCTACAAATAATTGTTCCGGGTCTGGATGTTTGTCTTTGTGCAATATTTATGTTTGTAAACTGCCTCCACGACACAGGAGAAAATCCTAGTGTGGGGGTAACGTTTTTTTACAACTGAAATTGAAAGATTGAACCCTTATACTTCTTGTTGATTTTTGTATTACCTTTATTAAAGTTACCCTTATGTATAAATAAATATAATTACGTATGTAGAAATAAAATTGATTTTCATCCTCATCAATCATTGGGGTGAGGATAATAACTGCTAGCATAAGTAATAAGCAGGCTAAGTTACAAGGTGCTCAGTTCAAAAATTAGTAGGTAACTTTTCAATACGTGACACGTAAAAATTAACAATAATCAAAAACACATATGCGAAACATCCTATTTATTTATTTATTTTTTATTGCACCAAATATTTGTACAAAAGCCGAGCTATCTATTTATTTACCTATAGTGAATAGGTATCTTTTAAACTCACAATTTTCAATGCTTCAGTTTTAATATATAATTAATTATAAAATTTCATAATTAGATAATATATGAAAATACATAATTCTAATATAATGCAACTAATATATACAGAATAAAAAAATTAAAATACATTTATCTTTGTACGCTATGTGTATTTCCATAAAATAGTTTATTGATGTTGAAAAAATAATACTACTTTCGTACAATAGGTGGCGTCTTACATATTTCTTCCGGCGAGCCGCTCGCTACAGCTACGCTTAGGTCAAATGCTCAAGGTCGTTCGCATGGAGTAGCCCCTTAAGGTGGAAGCGCCAGGATAGCCCGCGAAATTCAAATTTTCTTACGTTTTTTGCAATTTGCATGTCAGTGTCAGGTTGTATGTTTTACAAAATATATTATAATTATTGTAATATGTATTTACAGAATTACAATAATTATAATCATCAATACAAGCGTCTATATTCGTATAATTCCAATGTATGGCTATTTCCAGAAAAACTTGTTCAAATGGATTATATGAACTTAAAGAGTTATATTGGTGATTTTAATGATAATAATTCTATAAACACATACTCGTTATAGTCGCGAATCATATTTTATTAAACATTCAACCTGACCCTGACCTGCAAATTCCAAAAAACGCAAGAAAATTTAAATTTCGCGGGCCACCCTGGAGTTTTCACCTTAAATAACCAAACTATATTGTACCGCCAAAACGTTTTTTTAGATTGGTTAGTTCATCTGTTTGCATACCAAGTATAATTTTAAAAGCGACTATATTTTTGAAATAAATTGCACCCAGCAACGCTTGACACAAAAATTGGGTAACAACTGTAACGTCAGAATCAAAAGAGATGTGTTGATATTTATAGGTGTGAATTGACATGTTAGTGGCTACATGGGCCCCGCCAACTCCCCCGTTCTATTGTGTACTTATTGTACACTTAACAGTGTAGTTTCTTAACCGCTTGTATGTGTGCTCCCGGCGACACCGGTCCTCGTACAAAATAAAGTTGGCATCCATTCTATTGTGTATTATAGTATTCTATGGTTTATCCCTTAATTAATTTATATTTATTTAATTCAAGCTATGAATGTATAAAGACAGTAATCATAAAAGCAAAGTGAAAATGGCAAAATTTCCAAAAATAATTTTTATTTTAAAAATAAATAATCCAACAACAGTGATGTAATATTAACTAATATAAAGAGACATATTCTTAATAATGTGTTTTAAGTCATCACCATATTATATTGTTTTGCGAGAATTGTTTGGTGTTATTACAATAAAATACACAGTATGTACAGTACATACACAGTATATACACTCCTGATTTGTAAAGCAACAATTTCTATTAGTTCTTTTAATCAACATCAGTCTGTCATACCACGTTACACACAGTCCCCTGTGCGGGGTGTATATGAGGGAAGATGAAACGGCGGTCTACCTACTACTGGTGTATCTGTAGGTCGCCACTTGTCACCTTTAGGCAGGCTTAAATATCCCGGTACGCTGAGGTTGCTCCCCCAGGTCAACAGAAAATGAAGGGATTGCGGAACAATTTCAAGAGTCCATGGTTTGAATTAGTTTATCATTCTTGTCCACGTGCAAAATAGGCACTATAGATGTGTATTTGTGGAAAATAAATAGCCCTTTGCAAACGATCACTACACTCTTTATATAAGGAAGAGCGAGTATAAGCTCAGCAGTATCATATAATAACAGTGTGTATTATATAACACTGCTGAGCATAAAATAGATTAATACTTTTGGTGAACAACAATAAATAAAAGGACGTCCTTAATAGTATTTTAAATGCCATTAGCTACAGGAAAGGTATTCGAAGGTAAAACGCGACATTAAAAAATCGAATTAGCTAGTTGATACTAGGCTAAAATAATGACATCGAATATTTTGGTATGTTACTTTGAAATTAGTAATTTTTTAATTTTATTGATTTTCCTTACGTCGAAAAAGTTCTTTTGAACCGTAAATAAAACATGTTAAACGTGTAGCGGCGATGTAAGAAAAACCACTAATACGTAATATTGTCCCGTGAGAGGAAAACGAACCAGGAGACTGGCAGCAACATCTTCCTAATAACAACTACAAAATAAAAAAACTGCGGTTGCCAACCGGCCTGTCAAGCGTGGCATCTATGGCAGTTATCCCCCTTGTGAGGTAATCTATGGTGAGGACTATGTTCAACAGTGGACTTTATATAATTATAACATGTTTAACATTTCATTCAACACACAATGTTTACACTTTTACACAACAGTCCTAGAAAATATTTAAGGTCTACCTATCAAAAGACTTGAAATTTCTGTGGTATGAAAAATCTGTTTAAAAAGTTAAATACATAATTGATAATTCCTCAACATATAACGCACGAACCCTGAGGACTAACGAGAAGATCGTGGAGCTGGAAGAAGAGATAGACAAGTTACGCTGGCATATAATAGGATTATCCGAGGTCCGAAGAGAGGGGGAGGACACGGTAATCCTCGAATCCGGCAACTTGTTCTATCACCGGGCGATCATCTGTCCCAAGGAGGTGTCGGATTTATCGTCCACAAGTCTCTCGTTAATAACGTTGTAAAGATTGAGGGTGTGTCGACGAGGGTTGCGTACCTTATACTCAGAATCACCAAACGGTATTCGCTGAAGGTCATACAGGTTTACGCAACAACCTCGGCACACCTCGACCAGGAGGTGGAGGAAATATATGAAGATATCTCTAGAGCCATGCATTCTTCCAAAACCCACTATACAGTGTTAATGGGAGACTTCAATGCAAAACTAGGCACAAGAGAGAATGGTGAGCTGAAAGTAGGGAAATTTGGAATAGGGCAACGGAAACCAAGGGGCCAGCAGCTGGCCGACTTCATGGAGAAAGAGGGACTCTTTATGATGAACTCTTTCTTCCAGAAGCGGCCTCACAGGAAGTGGACCTGGTCGATCCCCGACGGTTCGACAAAAAATGAGATTGAATTCATTATGACGACCAGACGACAACTTTTCAGTGATGTCTACGTGATCGCGAGGGTGAAAACTGATAGCGATCACCGAATGGTTAGAGGCACACTGAACCTAAACATTAAGTTGGAGAGGTCTCGTCTAATGAAGTCAACGCTCCGTCCCCCTCGTGCTCTGTTCCAAAGTCCCGAAACCTTTCAGCTCGAGTTACAAAACCGTTTTCAGTGCCTAGAAGACTGCAATGAAGTGGACGATATGAATGACAAGCTCGTGGAAACTGTCCATGCGGTCCAAGCTGAACGCAACTTCAATACAGCTTGTATTGAAGAAGCGATCGAGTGGAACCAAGGCTCCAAAGTCTTTGCCAGAGATCTGTCTGCCAGAAAGAGCCAACTGTCAAAGCTGAAGACCGAGTGTGGCAGCATCGTTTCCGGGACACCTGAGATTTTGAGTGAGATTGAGAGGTTCTATGGGCAGTTGTACACGTCATCGTTGGAGCCACACGCAAGTGTGAGTAACGATCCAAGAGCGAGTCTTATCTGACACTATTCCGAAGATATCCCGGACGTCAGTCTGAGCGAGATTAGAATGGCTCTCCAGCACCTTAAAAACGGCAAGGCCCTAGGCGAGGATGAAATTACAGCGGAGCTTCTGAAAGCGGGTGGAAAACCGGTACTTAAAGTCCTTCAGAAGCTCTTTGATTCCGTTCTCCATGGTGGCATGGAGGCGTGGAGCAGAAGTACGGTGGTCTTGTTCTTCAAGAAAGGTGACAACGCTCTCTTGAAGAACTACAGACCGATTTCCCTTCTGAGACGCGTCTACGTGCTGTTTTCGAGAGTCATTACGAATCGTCTCGCGCGCACACTTGACGAATTCCAGCCTCCCGAACAAGCCGGTTTCCGAAAGGGCTTTAGCACCATAGACCACATACATACCCTTCGGCAAATTGTACAGAAGTCCGAAGAGTACAATTTGTCACTATGTCTGGCGTATGTGAACTATGAGAAAGCTTTTGATACAGTCGAAATTTGGGCGGTGCTGCAGTCCCTTCAGCGGTGCCAAGTTGACTGTCGGTATATCGAAGTGCTGAAGTGTTTGTACAGTAGACCTACGATGGCTATCCGAGTACAGAATCAGAGTACGAAACCTATCCAACTGCAGAGAGGTGTAGGACAGGGTGACGTTATATCCCCAAAACTGTTCACCGCTGCATTGGAAGACGTTTTCAAGTTACTGCACTGGAAAGGATGCGGTATTAACATCAATGGCGAGTACATCACTCACCTTCGATTTGCCGACGATATAGTCCTTATGGCAGAATCGCTAGAGGACCTAAGCGTTATGCTCAATGACCTCAATAGTGTCTCGCAACGGATAGGTCTTAAGATGAACATGGACAAAACAAAAACCATGTTTAACGTCCATGTCACACGTATGCCGGTAGTTGTTGGGAGCACTAAGCTCGAAGTTGTTGACGAGTATGTTTCCGTGGGACAAATAGTCCGACTAGGTAAGTCCAACTTCGACCGAGAGGTCAATCGACGGATTCAACTCGGCTGGGCAGCGTTCGGGAAACTACGACACATCTTCTCGTTAGACATACCTCAAAACCTAAAAACGAAATTGTACAACCAGTGCGTGTTGCCAGTGATGACTTACGGATCTGAGACGTGGTCTTTCACTGCTGGCTGTATGAGGAAGCTCAAGGTCGCTCAGGGAGCTATGGAGAAGGCTATGCCCGGGGTGTCTCTGCGTGATAAACTTAGAAATGAGGATATCTACAGTAGAACCAGAGTAACCGACATAGCCCAACGGATTAGTAAGCTGAAGTGGCAGTGGGCCGGCCATATAGCTCGAAGAACCGACAACCGATGGGGAAGAAAGGTTCTCGAGTGGCAGCCTCGTACCGGTAGGGGAAGTGTAGGGCGATCCCCCACTAGATGGAGTGACGACCTGGTGAGACATGCAGGAAGTCGATGGACGCAGGTGGCTCAGGGCCGTGCTTTGTGGCATTCCTTGGGGGAGGCCTATGTTCAGCAGTGGACTTGTGAAGGGCTGTAATGATGATGATGATGATGATGAACTCCTAGGAATCGAGTGATCACTACCATGCGGTAACTATTCTTTTATATTTAACAGTACATCATACTTTTTAAATGATAGTCCCGCTGGATTCTTCCTATGAAAAAATATGTATTATCTATACAAATAAATAAAATTGAAGCGTCTGTTTGTAATGTAAAAATAACAGCTTTTTACTTAATGTATATAAAAGTTAATAGGGTACTAATAACGATAAACTAATTTTAAAATTTTTGTCTGTCTCTCTGCTTGTTCCGGCTAATCTCCGAAACTGCTAGAACGATTTTGACGGGACTTCCACTGGCAAATTATTATATATTATAATAAGTAACTTTATTTTAGAAAAATAATTAGGGTTCCATGCAAAAAGTTAAAACCCATTAAATCCAATCGTAATAAATTCCACGCGGATGAAGTCGCGGGGTACAGCTAGTATGATAATATGTTCAAAGTAACTACATTATTTTACTATACATTCAAGAAATTGAGGAAAAAACATGTTGATATTACCTAAAACAGTTTCTGCCAAAGTGAACAATTGAGGCGAGTAGGATCGTCCATCATCGGAAACAGCTGCACAGAACCTTTCGTTATTACCAAGCTCTACATACATCCGGCATATGTCCAACACAGTACTAGCTGGATCAAACTCAAACTCTTTCATATCCTTTACCTGGAAAAATATCATCGCCTCGTTTATGCCCGGTTCTTACATTTTTTTAAAGTTACACAAATTACAAGGAAACCTAACTATAAAATAAAATACTGCTGCAACTACGGTTCAACAACATACATCTTAAAGTTGTTTTGTTCTTTAATGATCACTAGTTGTTAAATGTGAACGGTTTTTCTGTATGCACTTTGTATGAAATAAAACGATTTATAGCAGCGGATAAAGTTTCTTAAATACAGGAACCGACTATAATAGTGACAATGAATATTAAAACAATAAAAAAAAATGCTACAGTACATAGTTAAACATTCTCAGTGATGTATTTTATGGACAATGCCGCCAAATTGTCAACCATGATAGTTTAATATGCCAGTTATGAGAATACTCTTTATCTTGTAGCTGTCATCTTAGGATCGAGAAGACAGACGACATGATGGTACACTCATGACAGTAACGGCAAAAATCGAAAAGAATTTTTTAATTAAATATTATAATAATAAATTATTTTTTATCAATTTAATGTTTTATCTCACAATACATCGACAATGGACAGTACAGTGGACAAGGTGAGAAATTGTGTGATAAGAGAAGAGTGTGGTTTGCAAGATGATGTTGTGACCAGAATTAAGGACTTCTACTTTTATTTGCAACTATCCCGAATTGAAAGTGATTTATGAGCAACAACGTTTTTGCCTACCGATCGACCCTTACGAATGTCAGTCAGCGTACGCAGTAAAATCAGTTAAAATAAATTAACACGCATTTTTAATTTAAAAGATAAAAAGGACAGAATGTTTGAGATTTTTCTCAATTATTTTTTTCTTCACCTTTTTCTTATATAACTTATTCTGTACTTTCTCTGCAAAGAGCAATGGCAGAAAAATAGTTGACGAAAATTATTGCGTCTAGAAATAAGTTATATATAAAATGAGTTTTATTATTTTTCTATGATTTTTCAAATGAAAATGTATTTTAACTAAAGCCACAGAATAACATTTTTGCGAATATCAAATGACTCATTTTATTCTATTCAAGTGTTGTCATTATAGTAATATTCATACTATTTTCGTATACACTTTGTAAGACTACCAACAGCACACAAACACAAAATATTTTTATATTAAGTTATTATTAGTAATAACTATACCATCAGTAATAATAATAAAAAAGTGATATGGTTGAAAAGAAGTCTCTTACAAAGAACTTCCTACAATAATACATTATCTTAATCATAGTGATGTGTAACAATTCCATTTAATGTTATGGCAACACTAGCTAAAACAAAATGTCAATGTTTTTTGTTTCTGGCGTTACGGCTTTGGGTTCTAGCCCTTCTGAGAATGTCGCTGTATGACACAAAGGCCCTGGAGCCATGCCAGAATTATACATTTATAGTATGCAAATATATAATAGAGATACAATAATCTAAAAACTGTCAATTATGTAGGTAAGGCACGTTATGTTGAGAATGTATTAAGCTAACATCAAACAACCACAGGACGCATGACATTTTCCAAGTGACATAAGACATGACCTAAAAAGGTTCAAATCTAAATATCTTTTTTTTGACGCCTTCTCCGGACAAAATTCTTTGACAGAGTTATTAAGGGAGTGACCCTTAACATTTTAAGATATTTTTGATATATAGCCGCTACCATTCATTCTCAATTAATTTTATGTATGAAAGTCTGCCATTGTTCTTTGGCCGTATATATACAGGATAATTTTGCAATTTATTTATAAATGCCCTATATAAATTTTTATACATATATAGGGCATTTGAAACGTAATTTCAAACTGGCTTGTTAGTGAAGCTAGAAAACATCAAGTGTGCGTGCGATACGCTTTGTAGTTATCTTTATATGTAGAAATCGGCCTGTAGTTATTTAATAGAGTATTGTCTGCTTTTCTTGAAGATCAAAACCACCGCTCTCTACACATCTCCGGAGATGGTGCCTCTCAACTACTTCTTCAATACGAGCTGCATTGAAGTTGCGGTGCAAAATCCCAGAAAATATACATAATTTGTCCACCGCCAAGTTCAAAAACTTTATTAAAAAAAATTGTATACAGTTATAATGATATTATGGAATTTATGGATGATAACAATCCCTGCGAATGAGGTGCTATTTATATTATGATTTGTATAGTTAATTGTGTAACATAATAAATACATGATATTCAACTGTTCTTCTTTTAAAAAGTTCTGCTGGTTCTTCTCAAGTCAACGATATTTTCCGAACCAGTGGTAAATTAACATAAGAATAACTTTCAATAAGTATCACATAAAAACTATATAGTCAAGTTGTCAGTTAAGTCTAACCTCTCAGCCGTTACATGCTGGAGTGGCACGATAAAACTTCATAACCCCTTCAGAAATAAGAAGGGGACTAAGCCCAGCTGTGAGACGTAAATAACCTGTTATTTTAAATGATAAGTGTATAAAATAACGTTTTACTTAACGTTTTAAAAAAAAATTAAAGAGTTATAAATTTAAATTACTAAGATACCTATTGATTGTTAATTCGCAAGGGGCTCCAGCATCTAGGCAAAAATTGTTCGTGATAAAAAAATGTGGAAGATAATTTTGTTTGCTCTTTTGAAAGAAACTTACCTTAAAATTCTTCTTATTTGGCCCAACGAGGTGCATAAGGAAGTAATTGAGCATAGAAGCAATGCGGTCCACCAACGTTGGGTGACAGAAAACATACGGCGCGTGCGCGGTTAACCTCACTAAAGTACGTATTGTGTCCCGACCAAGAATGTTATCAAAACGAGCCAGCATTCCGATATGTGACAAGTTCGTTAGGTTCTGTTCCCTTTCATGTGCAGAAAGTTGATTCCAAGCACCCGATTCTCTGTAAGGTTAATAGTGAATAAATAGGTTAAGCAAAATATATAAAGTACTCGTATCATCCAAATATAAATTCAGCGCGTTTATTTGTCTGTCAGACACGTTTCGCTACAATGTTTTTTAAACAAAACATTGAAGCGAAACATATCTGACACACTTCACAACACGAAATATATTTTACAAAAAATTCCGAAAATCAAAAATCTAATTCACACTTTTGCTACACGTTTTATGAATAAATTAGGTTTCTTAATAAAAATTTAAAGTTACAGTCTATATATGTTCCACAAACATAGGCATCCTCCCATTTCTGAAAGGGTTATGGAGCAATTAGTAAGAATACAATTAATGAGGAAATCTTAATATCTTTCCTTTCTTGATCAACTTCTAAAACAATGTTTAAAGAAATTTTTTACTGTAAATTGTCCCATCCCGAATCATAATGAAAAAGAAAAAAGTTCAGATCATTTACTCCTCTATACTAATTATAGTTTTCAAAATAGGTAAAAAAACTATTTATAATTGCATCCATTCTGTGTTTACTAACTCATTTGAGCAAAATCAAAAACAAGTGTAAAACAACTCGCGAGGCAAAACATAAAAACATATAGCAGCGCGAATCATTAGTTTGGGAAATAAAAACTCTTACAAAACGAATACAAAATAAACGAAAATTTCCAATAGTTAAAGGTTGATGTAAACAGGGTTGAGATTATATACCGTTTTAGTATGTTAGAAAGATCTCGTTCACTGCTTTCGTGTTATATTTTAGAAACTTCAATAATTACGTTCGGCGCAGATGAAAATTTGATATATGTTATTGTGTTTACTTTTGAAATGAATAATCTGCAAACAACAAACTAAATTTTTCACATAATTTTGTTTAATATAATTCAATAAATTTTAAGTTTGTATATTTAGCAAACTCTATACAATACAAGCTTGATACAAAATTGACATTTTTAGAGTAATGCCAAATGATTTAATCCATCACAGTTTCAGTTACTGGGTGCAAGAAGGGTTCATTTGTTTTAACGATTTTACTTTATAACAGAGTTGTTGCGGATGCAGAATTTTTGACATCTGTGAATGCGGATGCGGATACGGAGTTCAAGTGTTGTTTTAGGAAAAACTACTTTCAATGGAACAATTAAAATAGAAGGCGATAATTTTTATATTATGTTTATTCATTAATAAATTTTTTAATAAAAATTCTTAATCAAAATACTTTTACTTGCGTGAACACCTACATCAAAATCTAGGTCAGTGGATTTTGATCCACATCCACTCTTTTTTTTGCCGATACATTACCAATTCTTTCTTTAAAAGAGCATCAGGGTTGTTAGGTGTTTTTTCTTGACCTTCGTCTTGACGTCCAACATCAAGGCAAGAGCGACAATATCCAAACTCGGAACAATTATTTGTAGGCCATATAAATACTGGTTTCGTGCGGGATTCGATCCCGTGGCCCTTAGTGCTTCAACTCATTGAAGTAATTTGTATATTAATTATTAACGAAAAAAAAATAACAGACTTTAAGCTTAATATTAAGTTTACTATAAAAAACCTGTAAGTGTTTTAATCGGCTTCAAAAAAGGAGGAGTTCTGAATTCAGATGTTCATATTTTTTGGTTTTTTAAATTGCTTCAAAAATACCGCTTTTAAGTAAAAATATCAAATCAAAATAGTGTGTAAAATAGTCATAATATAAATGATAATATCACATTGAAAATATCTTCCTTTTTTTTTAATTTGCTCCAATTAACACTTTGAATTATATTAATAAATACAAAATATAAAAGTTAGGGGACAGTAAACTCGTGTTCCCATTTGATAAATTTTTAGAAAGAGTGCCTATAGCTGAGAATTACTTTTCATCGAGTTTGTAAGTTTTTAAACTTATAACACTAGATTTAAATTCCAATTTACCTGCATTATCTTTCTTATTCTTTAACTGTTTCGTTATTCGAGCTTTCGAACAAACTAAACTCTTCTGGGAGCATCGATTTAAGATAATTTTTCAAAGTTATGGTACGTTCCCTATCGCGAGTAATTCTTTTTTACATATTTGCACTGGGACTTACCCAGATCACTTTCGTCTAATTTAAAATAAGTCCAGATATTACTTCGTACTGGTGACGACATTTTTTTTCACTTGGTTAAATTTATAATTTATACTACGAAATATTTATGGAACACACAATATACTTAGTCAACAGTGGTAGAGCCAGGCGGTAGGTTTTGCTATCGCACGGATGGGCCGGCTCGAACCGGGGTGGTACCACGACCTCACAGAAAACCAGCGTGAAGTAGCGGTTTACCTCTGCGTTTCGCTTGGTGAGTGCAGGTGGCCGGAGGCCCTTTTTACTGGAAATGAGGCATTCCATCTTAGTCCTCACGGGTGACAACGCATCTACATTTTGATTTGTAACAGAGGATAGATGTAGATGTCTATTGGCCACAGCAACCACTTACCATCAGGTGGACTGTGTGCTCGTTTGTCACCCTATCCTATAAAAAAAAAGTTAAACAGAGAAACGAACGTTATGACTGATACTTTCTGAATTACCTCAATAAAATAAAACAAATGTTGTGTTGTGTATAAATGTAGGATCTTGTCACCAGCATGTGCTTTCTCATTATATGATCGTGTCGTGAGTTGCTCCACATCTGCATCCGTATAAAAGATCCACATTGATTTATGTGGATGCGGATGCACATGTCTAAATCAATGCGGATGTTCCGCATTGCGGATGCGGATTCGAATATCCCTAACATCCCTGCTTTATGATGCGTGTAAATGTATCAACAACCATGAAAAAGCAAAATTGAACGAAGGTAGTTTAAGCGCCAAATCTATACATATGATAAAAATTCAATTGCATGTGTCTTTACATTTTATATTTTCGTAACTAAAATGATTGAGAAAGACTAAAAATATGTAATAAAAAATATGTAATAACAGACAGATTCATTGTTACATCATACAAGATCCATTGTTGTTATTTGAATCTTGCTGATCTTACGTACATAACAGTGTAGTGGTTGTTTAAAAATATCATTTAGCCCATATCGCCCCGTGGGTATCGTAAGATACGGCAGGGTAACTGAAACAGCGACAGATGGCTAGCAGTATCTTCTTGATAACAACTGAAATTTATAAATACCTGCATTTGCCAAACTGCTTTGTAAGTTCGTTTGTTCGTATGTGTAACAGTGGATTTTTATAGGCTGTAATCGATGGATAGATGGATGAATCTTGCGTATTAGGTTTTCTTTAAAATACTTTTCAGAACGGCCATGAAATTTTTGAAGTCTTCGAGAGTTTTCCCTTTCGAGAGACTCCAGTTGCAAGTGAAAAGGCTAGCAAAATACATGTTTTTTTCTATATTACCCACTGTTTAAAACTGCATCTCTAATGTGTTTTTACGTATTATATAAATCGAATGTAGGAAAAAAATATTTTAATTGGCTTGGGGTAATAATAAACTTGAGCCATGAACACTATTAATGAAATTCGATCACAACTTCGTGTAGTTCGAAATAACTTTCACTGAAACTTAGTCCAGTCAGTGTAAGTAGCCACTTCTATGGCGCTTAGTTCACTTTTGCGCTTTTTTTTAAACTTCTCAGGAATGTAAACTGGTTTGAGCGCCAAGTGTTCAGATTGATGGGAATGGAATATGGCGCAGTCAACGCAGAAGAATTTGCTAATTGTATTTATAAATCATGTATACATATATCAATGACGATGGATCGGTAAACTGAAGTGGCATTGAGCCGGTGACATGGTTCGTAGAAATGCCAACTGATGCCTAGAGGCTAGCAAAATGTAGGGCGGCCCCCAACAAGCGGAAGAAATGCCCTGTTAAGAAAAACGACATTGACGAAGTCGATGGATGCATGGAGTAATTTACTCAGGGCCGTGTTTTGTATTTTTAGAGGAGAGGCATATGTTGTTGGACTTATGAAGGGCTGTAATGATGACGATGCAAATGATGATGATGATACATATATGTCAATATCGCCCATAACGTCACTTAAACTATTTTGCATTTCACCCGTCAACATCTATACAAATAAATAAAAGTGAAGTGTCTGTAATATCAAAATAACAGCTTTTTACTAAATGCATATGAAAGTGTACACAGTACTTATAAAAAATAAAAAAATTAATTTGTCTGTCTGTTTGTTCCGGCTAATCTCTGAAATGGCTAGACTGATTTTGATGGGATTTTCATTAGCAGGTAGCTGATGATATAAAAAGTAACTAAGGCTACTCTTATTTTAGAAAAAGAATTAGGGTTCCGCCCAAAAAAAATTAAAACCCTAAATAACACGCGAGCGAAGTCGCGGGGAAGCTAGTTATATATTAATGGAATAAATATATACATACTGTGCAGTTTGTAAGGTGCGTATCTGGGCCATATTCCCGAGAGCCTCATCCAGGAGAAATATGGCATCATTCATTAACAGGTTCACAAAGCGCAGGAAAATTGGTGGGTGCACAGCTTCCATGTTAGCTTCGGCCTCTCGTGCGAGTACTCTGAAAAATGATTAAAAACCAAGACATTGATGAAATTTGTTGACTATTGATCCATGTGATGTCCATGATATGGATCTTTAATGTAGCCATTGTTGGTTCGTGTTCTGCCTACCAGGTTGGTTGACTAGGTACCATTTTCTTACCCATTTATACCACTAAGCAGCAATGCACCCATTTAATAATACTATTTACACTATGAGTAGAATTTCTTTAAAAGCTTTTAGAAAAATTTACTTCGCAAATACCCGCATTATAAAATAAAATGATGTATCTTACCTAGTATGAAGAGTACCTCCCGTCCTCCCTCAATTGCGTGCACTATCCCCGTCAACACTAATCCCAGCACCGCTACTCCCAACACCACTACACTAGGCAAGACACACCACTGACGATAATACGACACGTGTTTCGCCTCTACACGAGGCATCCTCAGGTGATATACACTCTACGGTGGCTAACCGCTAAGTGAGCGGCGAGCCAAAACAAGTGCCTTTTATACAGACCGATGACGCAACCGCTCTCTACTTAAGGAGCGAGCGACTGCGTCATGCGATAAAACATGCGACCAATCACCGCCGGACTTACGCAGCCGTTTGTAAAATTAAATATCTTTAAGCCTGATCTCTAATAATAGAGAGCCTCGCAACATGGCCGTTTGTCACCCTCACGATGTTCGGCGATTGGTTGCGTGGTTGGAGGGTGGGCGTTGCGCGGCGGTTTGTTTTTAATTTTACAAACGGCTGCGTAAGTTCGGCGGTGATTGGTCGCATGTTTTATCGCATGACGCAGTCGCTCGCTCCTTAAGTAGAGAGCGGTTGCGTCATCGGTCTGTATAAAAGGCACGTTTTGTTTCGCCGCTCACTTAGCGGTTGGCCACCGTAGAGTCTATATCACCTGAGGATGCCTCGCGTAGAGGTGAAACACGTGTCGTATTATCGTCAGTGGTGTGTCTTGCCTAGTGTAATGGTGTTGGGAGTAGCGGTGCTGGGATTAGTGGTGACGGGGATAGTGCACGCAATTGAGGGAGGGCGGGAGGTGCTCTTCATACTAGGTAAGACACATCATTTTATTTTATAACGCGGATATTTGCAAAAGTAAATTTTTCTAAAAGCTTTTATATAATGGATTTCCGCAAAGTAACGCCTGATTCTATTAATTATAGCATTTCTTTATTGGAATACACCACAAGTTGTTACATACCGAGGTAGATTCAAAGCTTGTTTTGTATTCATTATGTTTACATTCTAACGCTTATTATTTTATCAATTCAGAACAAGAATTATCCAGTGATTTTTGAAACAGGGTTACCAGATGCGTGCAAGTGCATTATCACACTAATAAAAAAATAGAAACTATTGTTGAAGCGGACTTAGCATAATGCATAAATCGTTTCTCTAGTATGTTTATCTAACCAAATTGTATGTTATTGTACCTAAGTGGAATTAATTCTACAAGTACGTTTTCTATATGGCAGAGCCACGGTGCAGCTATATTATGATTTTGGCAAATGGGACGGATCAACCGGGGTAGGACCACGCTCTCACAGAATAATTGCTATTGTCTTACTATTGTGTTTTCAGACAATAGTAAGACAATAGCAATTACCTATATATAGTGTACAGGACAGCGAAAGGGTTAATGCTGCTGTGTTTCGTATTGTGAGTGTGGAGAACCGGAGATCCTTTTTACTGGAAACGAGGCATTTCATCTTAGTCCTTAGGGGTGACAACGCATCTGCATTTTGATTCTTAATTAAAGATAAATGTAGATGTCTATGGATCATAGCATCCATTTACCATCAGGTGGACTGTGTGCTCGTTTGTCACCCTTATTCTATAAAAAAATACAAAATTCCGTATTTCTGGCAACATTGTACTCGAATAGTAAATTAACAACAAAACTTACGTAAATGCATTCTTGTGCTCCTCCATGCCCCACAAGAAGTCCATAACGAGGTACATGGGTCGGCGATAGTTAAATTTTTGTTCAAATTGAACACTCTGACCAGTCATTTCGATACCGACAAACACGTCCAACAAGCATGGCACTAACTGAAAGTATATATTATTAATTAATTATCAACTATACAACTGAGAACTGCTAGAAGGTATTTGCTTTCACGGCGATAACAATATTACTACTTCAATCAAAGATGCCTATAGATGCTTTTTAACCTTTGAGGACTAAGAATGAATGTCTTACTGCCCATTATTATAGTGTCACTCGCGTCTTTCAAGACAAAATCCTCCCGAACAATGTCATGAATTTTGTCATGCCAGGATTTAATGAGAAAACAAAAACATGTGTGCAATTCACATGAGATAGAAATGAAACCTTCAATTCTATATGTAAATTAATTTAATGAATAAAATTGATTGACTCTCAAGGGGTTGCGTAAAATGGACGCTAGATGGTCTAAACACGACTAATTAATATATTAAATCGACAAGTTATGAAATCGTAGATTGTTATGAATGGATGATAATATTATAATTTTATTCAATATGGTTAATTAATAAATTTTACAAAATTAACATTTTAATTTTTAATTTTTTTTAGTTGATAATTATAACAGTTAAAAGTTATAATAACCATCTTTAAAGCAGCGCACAAAGAGGACACTGAGATAATAGGAAACATTATACTGTATTCTATCTAACTCTCTCGCAGGCTAAATCCCATAGATGTATATGTTTGTCTTTCTAGTGTCGCTTTTTCGTTTCATTCGCGTTTCAAATCAACCGTTCTAAAGAAGTTTTTGCTTCAAAAATAGTGACTCAATACTTTAATAGAAACTCAGTTACTGAGTTGAGAACTCCTAAAATTAGCAATAAAAATTATAATTAAGTATATTTGAAAGGGACGAAGAGAGAACGAAGTGTGAAATATGGGTAAATCAGGAATGTCTAGAACAGGTAAATGAAATTGTATACTTGGGGAGTGCTTTTAGCCGGGATGGAAGATGTGATTTAGATGTGGACAGGCGTGTCGCTGCCGGGAACAAAGTCAATGGTGCCCTGACTGCGTTAGTCAAAAGGCAAGGCGTAGCGAAGAGTGCACGCCTTGCAATACATAACGCAGTGTTGGTACCGACTTTGTTATATGGCAGCGAAACCTGGGTATGCCAGAAGAAGCATAAAAGTAAGTTGAATGCAGTGGAGATGCGATCTCTTCGTAAAATGTGCGGCGTTACTATGGCCGACCGAAAGCGAAACGAAGAGATTCGCAATATGGCAGGTTTGAAAGATGACCTTATCACAAAAATTGATAAGGGCGTGCTTCGGTGGTTTGGGCACGTTGAGCGAATGAGTGAAGACCGAATGGTGAAGAAAATATATAGCGCGAAAGTTAATATTAAAAGGTGTCGAGGTAGACCGAGACTAACTTTCGAAGACCATGTGAGCAAATTGCTCGAAGAGGGTAGGGTCAAGAGTACTCGGATACCTAGACGTGCATGTATGAAGAAGATAATGAATCTGAAAGAAGCGAAAGAGATATGTAAGGATCGTGACACTTGGCGATCTGTTCTCTCTGGCTACCCCGTCAGGGATTGTGCGTGAAGATAAGTTAAGTTAAGTTAAGTTAAGCAATAAAAAAATTGAGGGTCATTTATCGGGATAAAAACTATCCTATCTCTCAAGTTGGACCAAACTGCACACAGTGTGCAAAACTTCATTGAAATCACTTCAGTAGTTTAGGAGTTCATCGCGGACAAACAACGTGACACGTAATTTTTATATATAAAGATAATAATTATATGTTAATAATACTACTTGTGAAATAACTTTTTTTTAATGAAATCAAACAAAAATCTACAAATTTGTCTATATAGTAGACACAAATCCTAATCGGTTTTGGATTTTAATATATCCAACTTATAAATTGGCCGCTCCAGATCCAAGCTTATACCAAAAATTCCTGCTGCTAATAATAGCATATTTACCTGCAATCGATGTGGATGCTCCTTAAATAGCTGCTCTCTATAGAATGACGCAAGATTACTCAGTGGCATCTGATCATCAGGGTGATTTGGCAACATTGCTTCGAGACATTCTGCAAGACGAGCTCTGAAAAGTAATAAATCATATAATTTACATAGGCATTTATATTTGAATGGAAGGTTGAAGTTTTTACAGATAAAAAAATTAATACATTTAAAAATAAAAGTAATAAAAAAATAATTTATTAATTTATATTATAAACAGCAAATATTTTTATTAATTTAAACGTCATAGTTACTGGTATAGATCACCGAAACTAAAATCCCACACTCCTTTTTTTCGATCCTTTAGACTGGAAAACAGCAGTGTACGCAATGATGCTTAGCGGATGCAGTTAGGTAATATAGTGCTCTACCAAGATGGACGCCTAGGCAGAATAAGAGTCCTACCATCCCGAACCGGTCTATGACTCCGCCGCCGACCACGTTTCGGCCGTGTAGAGTAGGGAGATTGGCACATGGAAATACCAACATTCTTCTTCCCCGCAAGCCCCAGCCACATCAGCGGTGTGGCCGTATCACAGTCGCGGATAGGTTGAGTGGTGAATCAACATACCAACATACCTATTTCTCCGCGACTCCACATCGTTGGAATGGATAAAAGTGAGAGGGCAACATTCTGACCAGCTCGAGCCAGCGTTTTTAACTTAGTTGGATTAGTTAATTGGAATCACTAATAGAATTGTTTGGCAGCCCAGCACTAGATGAAGTCACAACCTGCTAAGAAGGGAGGCCTACATTAAGCAGAGGACTTGACAAGGGCTTTTATGATGATGAAAAGTATTATTTGTACACTATTCAAAATATGACAAATAATGAATCACAAACTACATTTACACAAAGGTACAATGATTATTTCTATATATCCCATGCACTCATGTGATTATCCATTCAGTACTAATTATCATAGTCATACCTAAACATAAGACTCCCTATAGATTGCCTTATAAGAGGGATATTTACTTTGCAGGTTTGGTAATTGCAGTTTTTCATTTTCTAGTCATTATTAGGAAGATGCTGCTGCCCATCTCCTAGTTTGTTTTCCTCTGTCGCTTCTCACGATACTTTATTAATATTATTTCCCTATCAAGTCGACAAATTTCAGTTTCAGCTAGGAGAGAATGTTTACCTTAAATGCGGATTGTATGTTCGTGAGGAATCCCCCATGAAGGTAAGTACAAGTGTAAGCGCAGGCTGGAGTAGGCCAGCTGTATCAGCCTCGTCAGTGATTGCTCCGACAGTCCGTCGAGCCATTGTTATCAAAACCACTATATTCTCCAACACAAACTCGGGCACACACCTGAAAAATAATCAGTCAAGTAAATAATAAATTCTTCTTTATTGTTCACTAATATAGGAAAAACAAAAAAGAACAATATATAATAAAGTTGTACAAAAAGCAAATAGGTTTTACAAGAACTATGATAACTCAGCCACTAAACTCGCCGTAAATTTGCGAGTAACTTGTTTTGATTGTACTAACTAGAGAACTAGAGAAGAAAGGATAAGGGTGTTTTTTCAATAGTTAAAAGTACACACAACTAATCAGCTTTGAGTATATTTTTAAAGGAAAAAAGTACTTAACACATCAAATATTTATGTAGAGATTAGTTACGTATTAGCTGTACCAGAATATTATCTTTCTCATTCAATCTTATTTTTAACTATAGTTTGTTGCAGTTATATTTGAAAATAAGCCTTTACTTATAATTAAAGACAACTTATTAAGTCATGTTATAAAATAGCAAACCTCAATGTGTCTGGAGCTGGTGTGGTAATAGGCATTTGCACGGGCAGCATCGTCATGGGTGCATAATTGGTATTTGACGCGTCGTTCCTCACTGCGACTTGCACTAGCCAAGTGCAAGTCATTGCTTGTAGGCGATGGAGGTTTGTTAACATATCATTCTCCAAGAGCGCGCAGCGAAGACTCACAAACCTACAAAAAATATTTATTAAATTATAATACATACTATGCGATTCAAATAAGAATAGAACTGACCTGGCGCCATATTGTGATGTCATAGCTGTCAATACAAAGCAGTTAAGTAATGTGAGCAAACCAGATATTTTTTGAAATAATATTTATTTACAATAAAAACCATGAATGAAGAAGTATTACTCTGCATCTAGCATTTCAATTTCGCTCATCTCTGCATCACTGTCTGAGTAATCGTTATTGTCATAATTATCATCACTGCTGCTTTCCCTTATAAAAATAGAACTTGGATTTATGTAGGTATTTAAAATATTCCGCCGACTAGGTATCAATATTTTAAATTAATTTATAAAAATAATTATGATTTCAATAGATTTGGTAACACTGACTCGGTAAGATGAAGCGGGAAAAAACCTTATTAATATGCGAATTACTTATCTTTGCAAGATGTACTTAACAAGTGACAGTTGACAGATCGCGGTCATTGGAGTTCCTATTCTTATTTGAATCGCATTGTACATTGATTTTTGCACATCTGAATAAAATACCAAATGGTATTGCTTTCTGTAACTTTTTTTAATTTATATATTCCAGCATTACAGTTTGAAAGAAGTGGAGAGTCAACATTTTAATTAGCGGCCTTAAAGACATTCCATTTTAGTCTTCAGAGGCGAGATTAACACACCTCCAGTAGTCATTTACCATCAGGGTGAATTTTAGTTTGCTAGTAAAAGGGTAGGGTCAAGAGTACTCGGATACCTAGACATGCATGCATGAAGAAGATAATGAATCTGAAAGAAGCGAAAGAGGTTTGTAAGGATCGTGACACTTGGCGATCTATCCTCTCTGGCTACCCCGTTAGGGATTGTGCGTGAAGATAAGTAAGTAAGTAAGTAGTAAAAGCTGTTAAAATATGTGTTGGCATCATTCACACGCAACTAAAAGTATCTGCGACAGAGATGCTGAAAGGAACCTACTTCCTTTATGTTATCAAGTAAAATCTTCTTTTAAATGTTAAAGCAAGAATAGTATTTATTATTAAAGACATAGTGAATGTCTAATGTTAAGAATGAGGGTAAAAAATAAATAAAAGGTAATACGCAAAACTGAGGGTAGAACTATAATCCCCCACCCGTTCTAGCAGTATAAAGCGCGATAGCGCAGGCGACTAAAAGATATCATCTACATTCAAACACTAAATACATTTAGTCCCAAAAACCAATGTATAGTGTGTTATAATTGTTATAAGTATGTTTCTACTCATGAGATTCATTCTGCATATTCAATTAACGAGCACTTTATGAAAGAATTCTAACTTAGTCATGAGATGTTGTGTTCTCTGGCGCATGGGCTCGAGTAAGTGGTGGGCGCTGGGGGCTACATCGGATAATGCGCGTTGCGCCCTTCCCAGCTCCTGCCCAACCCTGTAAAGCTTTTCCGCACAGACTCGAACCCCTACAAATATAATAAAATTATATAATAAATTGCACATAAATGGAAACAATTTACAAATAATAAAGCCATTTTAAAATATTTTTACATAATATAGGTTACAAATAATACAGTGAAACCTGGTTATCTGTTATCACTTAAGAGGCTTTTCATCTACCCAGTTTCCCAAATAGGCAAGTTAACATGGCAGTTGTCAATTTATAGAGGGTCCCACTATAAGAGGTCGAAATGTACCATTTATCATATAAAGAGATAGTACTGATAAATAAAGCAAAAGCAAAAAAAAATGGCAGAAATTAGTAAATTCTAAACAAGTGTCATGACTTGTCTAAACTGAAGTCCCAATTATAGAGGTAAACATCGAAAAATCTATGAAATCTAATCTCAGTTAACAAGTTTTGAATATTCCCAGTAACAAAGGTATTTCAATGCAAAAATGTGTTCTCATTGTAATTATCAATAACAAAGGTTTTTCATGTGAAGTTTATCCACAAGGCCCACTTAACCAGGTTTCACTGTACTTGTAAATTATACTTTGAAACCATTGTAATTTTTTCATGGAACAAATCACATCACATATCTGTTAAGATAACATGTGTGTGTGTTATATATGTATTTATATCTCCAAACTATGGAATTATTATAATTTGTTGTTTACCAAGGTCTATACATTTCTGCGTCATAAAAAAGCATTCAGTAACAAAATTGTAGGTGTCTGCGGTGGGTCTCTTAATTGGTTGAGCTTCTTCATTTTCTCTAGGTGGTAATAAGCACGTTTCACTATGCAAGCAGTCAAGATGTACTGATTTAGCTTCACATTCTTCTGGCTACAATAAAAAAGAATGGTAAAGTAAAGTAAACTATTGGTAAATTCAACTGTGCATGCCTTAAGCGAATTGAAACAATTACATATAATATGATTTTTAAAAGTAGTTTAATTACACACAAGTTTTCACCTTATAATTAAATTAAAACCTTATAATTATTACTATACTTCCAATTTTCTGATAAATTTGACACATTTAAATAAAAAAAAAATCCAAAGATGCACGACTCATAAGATCGTGAAAAATTAAAAAAAATTTAACTTGTCATTCTATTCGTCAAAGAGTTCCAGTAGCAGTCACCGAAGTACACCTTCAAGTCCGGATGTAAGGTCTATTCATAACTAACAAAACGAGGCCAAACTCGGCACACATAGTACTACTCTTCGAAGAGTTCCACTAGCATTCACCGAAGTACACTTTCAGGTTACTCTATCAAGTCCGGAGGTAAGGTCTCACCATAACTAACAAAACGAGGCCAAACTCGGCACACCTAGTACTACTACTCGAGGAGTTCCAGTAGCATTCACCGAAGTACACCTTCAGGTCATTCCGTCAAGTCGGGGGGTAATGTCTAGTCATAACTAACATAACTAGCACAATCTGTGCACACCTTGTCCTACTCGTCGAGGAGTCCCAGTAGCAGATACCGTGGTACGACTTTCCATTGACGTCCGTCGATTTGGGGTTTGATATTTTTTTTACAGACATGTTACATTATTATAAATACACACGCAAAGTTTCAACATTCGGAGACACGTACTTTTTGAGAAAAAATATATTGAAAATCAACTATTTTTGCAATATTTATGTCAATTGCTACCGTAAAACTGACGCTATTTTGTATTGTCGTAGTCAGTAGGGATGTCGATTCTTTCCGAAAAAGTTCGATTTTTTAAATCTAAATATAAATTCATTTTATGAGAAAAAAATCGCCTTCATCATAAAAAAATAGGGGGACTGATTCAGAAGGATTTCTGTATCTATTTTGAGACTGCTACGTCTCCGGCGCTGCGGGAAGAGCAGCCTCTACGCCTTTGCGTAACAAATCGTAGGCATTGGACGAGCCGTAGCGGCTGAGGCTGGTCGATGAAGGCGACCAACAAGCCGAAGCTGCGAAAGCGAGGCGAGAAAGTTATGAAGTAACACACATAAAAAAAACATACAGTCGAATTGAGTACCATCTACTTTTTGAAGTCGGTAGAAAAGAAACGGTTGACAAATTAGTCACACCAAAACTTAATGGTAAAGAAGTACCATTCTCCACTGAAGTTAAGTTTATAATTAACTACTTAAGTACTTGCGTAACAATCGACCAGAAACTAACGTGGAACTCTCACCTTAGCAACGTATGTCATAAGGCAAAAATTGCTTTAGGTACGTGCAGTCGCATAGTTGGAAACAACTGGGGCTTGCGTCCCAGTATGAACCTATGGCTGTACAGAAGTATAGTGAGGCCGATTCTTACCTACGCCTCCACTGTCTGGTGTAATAAGGCCAACCAAAAGACAATTACGGACAGACTAAATGGTCTACAAAGGACTGCCTGCTTAATGGCAACTGGAGCGATGCGAATATCCCCTGGAGCGGCTCTTGATGCACATCTAGGCCTAATATATAGTAGCAGTACTGCTAGCGCTGAGATCAAACTTGGTAAACTCGAAGCTAGTTGGAGACTGCGTCAACCGTCTAAACGCTCTGGGAGGTATCAAGAGGCTCGTTTTAAGATGGGTTCCGGGTCACGCGGGTATTGTAGGCAATGCAACTGCCGACAAGCTCTCACGGGAGCGCTCGAAGAGTACACAATTTGGACCTGAGCCATTTTGTGTATCTCAAAAATCTTCGCCCGATTGACCCTGGAAACTCTTGACCACAATAAATCATTTAAGATCTGGTCTGATACACCAGGCTTAAAACATTCTAAAACCTTAATCCGGGCTTTCGATCGTAAATTCGCTTTGGAAGCCCTGGGATTAGGTAAAAATAAATTGGGCATTCTGGTAAGAGCCATGATTGCACACTGTTGTCTTAAAAAGCACATGTCCATCCTGAGACTAAGCAACTCAAGGATGTACCGGTTTTGCTCTCCCTAGAGGAGAAAACGCCATTACACATCCTGACGAATTGCGACCCTTAATGCGCAAACGTAGCACCCATCTGGGAAACTATGTACTTCGCCCAGAAAAAGTGAAATTACTCACAGCTAAGCAACTTCTTCTATTTATTGATGACATAGGGCTTAGCAGTGAACTATAAACATAGCAGCGATCACAATAGATCTTTTAGGTCGCGGTCTTTCTAGACCTGCATAGCTGCTCGTACATAATAAAAAAAAGGTCCGTCAAATTTGTTTGCTGGTTGCAGTGGCGTAGCTATGTAACCAAAGGCCCCGGGGCAAAAATGAAATTGGGGCCCTATTTAAACTAAACTAAATATTTTAAAGGTGCAGAACTACTTCATCATTAGCTCCTTGTCACCCACTGCAGGGCATAATAAAGCAAAGCTACTTACTACTAAGTATTATGTGTAACGCATAAACAATGACGAAGTAGATTACAGTTAATAATATAGGCAGACAACATAACAGTGGAAGAGCCACACGGCAGCTTTTGCTATAGCACTGGTGAACCAGACTAGATGAAGTGACGACCTGGTAAGACATGAAATGAAGAGCTGTAATGAATGAATGTAATGAATGGATGGCGTAAAAAGCTTGGAGTGCTCAGCAGAGCGGGACAGTATTTTATGCCGGCACAATGCTTGCAGCTTTACAAGGGGCAGGTACAGCCTAACATTGAATACTGTTCTCATCCCTGGGCCGGGCTCCCTAGTACCAGCTTCTTCCACTTGACCGCATCCAGCGCAGAGTGGCTCGAATCGTCGACGACCGACGAAGACGAAAGACGAGACGAAGAGATGTTGCATCCCCTTGCATTTTCTAGCGCATTTACCACGGGGAGTGTTCAGAGGAATTGTTCGCATGAAGAACAAAATTTTATTAACGCATTTCACAAATCCATATCGTCGGGATGTTTAGCAGTCCACTACTGTCGGACCGATATGTCTTAGGGACCTTCAAGAAACGAGCTTACTCCTTTTTAAAAAGGCGGCAACGCACATACAATTCCCCTGGTGTTTTTTATTAATAGGCGGTGGTCGACACTTGCCATCGGGTGAGCCGCGTGCTCGTTTGTCCCACTCTTCTATATAAAAAAGACAATAAAACAAAGTAGACAATTATCTTTAATAATGTTATGAAAGTGAGAGTGATTTTTGTGATTTCAGTTGTAGCCGTTCGCGGTCAGGAGCCAAAAATTTAAAACTCGTATATTCTTTATACAACTAGGATAGTACATAATTTTTCGAACGTCGTTCTTGGAGGCCGAGGGGCCCCTTTAGCTTGGAGGTCCCGGGGCACTGCCCCGTCTAGCCCCTGGGTAGCTACGCCACTGGCTGGATGTCTAATAACAGCAGTATAACATAAGAGTTAGTAATTTTTAGTAGTTTCTAGTATTAAACAGTGGTTGTGGGAGATATAGATTGTGTCGTATAAAATATTTTCTCAGCATCTTTTGCATCTTTTCGTGACGAGACGTGGTCCTTCACTGCTGGCCGGATGAGGAAGCTCGGAGTTTCTCTGTGTGATAAACTCAGAAATGAGGATATCCGCAGTAGAACCAGAGTGACCCACATAGCCCAACGGATTAGTAAGCTGAACTGGCAATGGGCCGGCCATATAGCTCGAAGAACCGACAACCGATGGGGAAGAAATGTTCTCGAGTGGCAGCCTCGTACCGGCAGGCGAAGTGTAGGTCGACCACCCACTAGATGTAGTGAGGACCTGGTAAGATATGCAGGAAGTCGATGGATGCAGGTGGCTCAGGACCGTGCTTTGTGGCATTCTTTGGGGGAGGCCTATGTTCAGCAGTGGACTTGTGAAGGGCTGTAATGATGATGATGATGATAGAGAAAACAGAGAAAAATCTTTGTATGGACTAAACACTGTCCAAATATCCTTTTAAAGGCTTCTTCTTATCAATGCAGAAAAACCATTCATAAAAGTGCAATCCAATTCTCACAGAAGGGTAATAAGGAGAAGCACAGACTACAACAGAGGATATCATAGTGTTCTGATCACATGTGCTAACACAGAAAACCCATCTTGCTCTAGTGACATACATAAAACCTAATTTTAGGACATTGTAAGGCTAATTGTTTGTTTATAAAATAAAAAGTATGAAGTGAGAGTAAAGGCAAACTGAAGAAACGTAGGCAAAATTTTAAAATAATAAACAAAGCTCTTTTTTAGCATGTAAAGGTCTAAGTTTCCCCTTTATTAGGGTATTTCATAATTAAGTAAAAACTCTTAATATATTTCTATAAATATCTATTAAAAAATTTAATTCGATTGTTATTTATTGTTCTGACTTGGCATAGAAGATATCCCAATAAGCTTTACCCAACATTATTTAGTTGCACCGTTCAAATATTTTCTCACTCCAATGATATGAAATGGGAAATTAGTTATGATGATTTTAACAATTTAACCAGTTTTGGTTGTAACTGTGGTAATACATTCAGTGTCTCGTCAGTATATATATTTTTTTAATTTCAAAATAAAATTAACACAAGGTTTTCAAGGTAAATATGGTTAGTGCTTAATTATATAAAATGACATTTTATACACAGGCTGCACTAAAAGTATCGGGAATGGAATATTTCCACTGTTCTTGTCATATTAAAATCTTTTTAATTGAAAAGTCCTTGGTTTTTTTTAAATTGAATACCAATTATTTATTTAAAAAAAGATTCTCGGTCTTGTCACAAGGTTTTGTCAAACTTGTTTAGTCGTTGAGAAAATGGAATTGTCTCGAGAAAATTCAAGAGCGATGATTTATTATGACTTTCGAAGTGGTTTAACACAAAAACAGTGTGTTGACCGGATGATTTCTGCATTTGGTGATGAAGCCCCATCCAAAACAACAATTTATCGCTGCTTTGCTGAATTTCAACGTGGACGTGTCAAGCTCAGTGATGATCCCCGTCAAGGTCGTCCAAAAACTGCAGTCATCCAAGAAAACGTTGATGCTGTGCGTAAGCTGATTGAGGAAGATCGACATGTGACATACCGCGAAATTCAGGAAACTTTAGACATTGGCATGTGTCAAATACAAATAATCTTGCATGAACAATTAGGTGTAAAAAAGTTGTTTTCCCGATGGATACCGCATTCGCTCTGTGAAGAGCAAAAAGCGGCTCGCGTTACTTGGTGCGTCAGAACTCTCGAAAGATTCCACGCAGGATCCTCAAATGCTGTATACAACATCGTATCAGGTGACGAATCCTGGATATACGCGTACGAACCCGAAACAAAAAACCAGTCACGAGTTTGGGTGTTCGAAAATGAGTTATAGCCAACAAAAATTGTTCGTTCACGGAGTGTTGCAAAAAAAATGGTGGCCACGTTTGTCTCCAAAACCGGCCATGTTACGACTATTCCTCTTGAGTGACAAAGAACGGTTAATGAAGAATGGTATGCTAGCATTTGTTTGTTTTGGTCGTTTCTGAATTCCGTAAAGAGAACTGCAACCGCCGCATCATCCTCCACCACGACAATGCGAGTTCTCACACCGCACACAGAACAAAAGAGTTTTTAGAGCAAGAAAATATAGAATTATTAGACCATCCGCCGTACAGCCCCGACCTAAGTCCTAATGATTTCTATACTTTCCCTAAAATAAAGAATAAATTGCGTGGACAGAGATTTTCATCACCTGAAAAAGCTGTGGACGCCTACAAAACGGCCATTTTGGAGACCCCAACTTCCGAATGGAATGGTTGCTTCAATGATTGGTTCCATCGTGTGGAAAAATGTGTCAAATTTCGCGGGGAATACTTCGAAAAGCAATAAATACATTTTTAAATAGTAATGTTGTGTCACTTCCTTGATTCCCGAAATTTTCAGTGCCGCCCTCGTATATCTCATCTAAGGGTTAGTCATTTAGGATTGAAACATGGAAAACGTTAAATTGGGGCCCATTATTGGTCTATCAAATTTTAAAATAATGTCATTCATTTTTTGTTGTAAATAAATGTCAGTTATAAGCAATAAATGATCATGTGCATATTAAAATTATACTCACAGGAACAGCACCATATGTAGGGTCAATTTTTAGTGACTTTGGATCATCAGGATTGGTACAAAATGGCTGACACAGCTGTAATAATACAGCACCAAGATTTAACATAAAACCATCTGATACACAACTTAATGTCGCTGCGCTAATTTCACCAGCCTAAAAAAAACCAACATCATTATAAAATGTATACTTGTGATTATTGTCACTTGATAAAACTTCATCTTCATTTGGACGTAGTTATGCAAAAAGGATCCAACCCGCGATAAGTTAATTTGAGTTTATGATATTTGAAGTATCCATACTTCAAATATCATAAACCCAAATTATCGGTATGATTTCTGTCTGTTTGTAATTTTTCTTCTTATTTGTGTTACGTTTGCTAAAATTGTTACATCACATAATAGTATAGACCAAAAACATTTTTGACACAAACTCAGGTTGGATCCTTTTTGCATAACCACGTCCATTTGTGATTAGAATGGACACATGTACCTCTTTCACTTATATTTCATTTTCTGATATTACCCTGATGTTTCACATTTCTTAAAAATGAGTACCTATATCCACACTTGAACCAGAGTAACTGTCTTAGCTCAATGGATCAGTAAGCTGAAGTGGCAATGGGCTGGTCATATAGCTCGAAGGTCAAATGGCTGTCGAGCAGCAGCCTCCCAACAGTAAGTGAAGTGTAGGGCAGCCTCCTATTTGGCGACCTGGTAATAGGTGCAGTAGGATGGCTCAGTACTGTGGTTTTTGGCATTCCCTGGGGGAGATGCCTATGTTCAGCAGTGCACTTGTGATAGGCTGCAAAGATGATAAATGAAAATGAACATATTAAAATAAAGATGAAACAAAAACACCAGTCAATTCAAACCACAAATCAAAATTAAATAGGTACTTATAGCTTCTTAAAATTTGAAACCAACATGCTCTACTAAATTACTTTGATAAACGAACATACAACATGTAACAAAAACCCTGTGGTTCACGTTAAGTACATTATCAGGATCAGTATTCAAACCTCTAGAAATAACTTTTTTCTAAAACGACCATATTTTTTTTTATTAAATTTTTTTTTAATTTTATGTGGTTTTGTTACCTCTTACTGACACTAGGCGATGCTAAAGCTAAGTAAAGCGGGGTCTTCGACAATCCTCTTACTCACCAGACAATGTAGAGGTAATAAAACCACATACAATTTGCATACAATTTTTTTTAAATAAAATAAAAAAAAATTGTTCGAGTTTTAAAAAAAAAATTATTTCTATACGTTTGAATAATGATCCTGATAAAGTACTTAACGGGAACCACAGGGTTTTTGTTACATATCTATAATATAAAAATGAATCGCTGAATGTGTTGCTAAGCGCAAAACTCGAGAGCAGCTGAACCGATTTCGCTAATTCTTTTTTTATAACATTCCTTGAAGTACGAAGATGGTTCTGACGGAGAGAAAAATTTAAAAAATTGCCTGAAAAAGTCTAAAAACAACAATTTTCTATATTCCCATACAAAAGATTCGTAATAATACTTAAAAGTCAATTTGAACTTTAGTACCATACCATAAAGTTTAAGTGTTAGTGGAGGGGATCCGGGAAGGCAAAACAATTGAGTGACATTAGTATCGTATAAATATTAATGTCAATATTTGTCAATATTTATACACACTGGCAGATAGTTGATGTTATAAAGAGTAACTTTAGCTGCTTTTATTTTAGGGTTCCGCGAAAAATACCTCCACGTGGGCGAAGTCGCGGGATCAGCTAGTTGTATATAAAAATTCACACACCTGTACATTCCAAAGCTTTCCCCTTGCTACATTTGTTTTAAGGCATTTACCAATCCAGGTCAACAATCGGTTTCTCATCTGTGGTCCGCCTTTCAAAAGCGTCAAAAATATTTTGTGCAAATTATTAACAAGATGTGATGATGCATTCCATATTGAGTTTTCCACCATAGAAGTTGCAGCCTTTGTTATATAAAAAAATTATATTACTTACATTTTTATTACAGTTGAGTTTTGTATTTTATAACATTTTTTCATCTATCACTAATAAAAACTAGATACACAATCAGTGACAAAAAAATGTCCTTACCTAATGAGCGCCCACTCGAACATTTGGGTGCGCTTTTAATTTGTACGTAGCTTTGTGAATACAACTTTAGGCAATGCATTTAAGGTTGAATTTACATTAATGTATTTTTGTTTCAACTAGGATTACGTCAAAACAATTGGCGACAGTTTTTAGAGAACTTTTACATGGGATTATGTCTAGTTTTTTATTAGTGATCAATGCATTTTCTATAGAAAAAATATATTACCTGATCCAAAGGGTTGTCAAAGAATTCATGTAATGCATTTGTTTTCCTAGGCAACACAGATAAGCTTAATAAGGCTCCTAGTACAGAATCTTGGTACAACCTTCCATTTGACTCTATCTTTGGTTCACATGCCTCCATCAATATTGGTGCTAAGTTTGGGTTACCTTTTAAACATTTTATTAGTATATTATTATAATAAAGCAGGTATTCACAAACAATCTCAAATTTAAGCTTAAACTTTCATCATCCATTGATCATCATCAAAAGTCTATCGAAGTACTATCCACTGCTAAACATAGGCCTCCCCTTAGAATGCTTCAAAATTGCCTATTTGCTTTAGTTGCTACTCTTGGCAACCACAGTTTTTTTCTCTGGTTATTAATAAGAAATGGTTCTGTCGCCTCTTACAACACCAATGGGACGATATAGAGTAGTGCATATTCTTACACCACCACTACATGGTCGGTACACAAACTTTCCATCATATTATGATACAAAAATGTTAAAATTTGTGTACCATAGTATGACCTAAACTCAAAGAACAATGTCAGAAAAATAGTTGACAAAAATTATCGCGTCTAGAAATAAGTCATATATAAAATTAGTTTTATTATTTTTCTATGATTTTTCAAATAAAAATGTATTTTAATTAAAGCCACAGCAACAAACAAACATTTTTGGGAATATCAAATGACTGAAATCATTTTACTCTATTCAAGTGTTGCCATTTAGTATATTCATACTATTTTCGTATACAATTTGTAAGACTACCAATACAAGACACAAAATATTTTTATATTAAGTTATTATTAGCAATAACTATACTGTCACTAATAATAAAAATAAAAGTGATATGGTTGAGCATAAGTCTCTTACAAAGAACTTCCTACAATAATACATTATCTCAATCATAGTACTATGTAACAATTCCATTTAATGTTATGACAACACTAGCTAAAACATAATGTCACTGTTTTTTTTTACTGGCTTTACGGCTCTGGGTTCTAGCCCTTCTGAGAATGTCACTATGACACAAAGACCCTGGGGCCATGCCAGAAATATACATATATAGTGTGCAAATATATAATACAGATTCAATAATCTAAAAACACTCAATTATGTTTTTTTTTAATATAGGATAGGGTGACAAACGAGCACACAGTCCACCTAATGGTAAGTGGTTGCTGCGGCCCATAGACATCTACATCTATCCTCGTTTGCGGATCAAAATGCAGATGCGTTGTCACCCGTGAGGACTAAGATGAAATGCCTCTTTTTCCAGTAAAAAGGGTCTCCGGTTCTCTACACTCACCATACGAAACACAGCAGTGTTAAGCTGCTATTTTACGCTGGTATTCTGTGAGAGCGTGGTCCTACTCCGGTCGAGCCGACCCATTCGTGCCACAACTATACTACTAATACAGCTGCAGCATGGCTCTACCACGTAAAAAAATTGTTTTAAGCTAACATCATGTATTATGTAATTGTAATTGTATTTATGTATTAAGCTAACATTAAACAACCACAGGAAGCATGACTTTTTCCAAATGACATAAGACATAACCTAAAGAGGTTCACATCTAAATATCTTCTTTTTTTTACGCCATCTCAGGACAAAACTCTTTGACAGAGTTATTAAGGGACTGACGCTTAACATTTTAACATATTTTTGATATATAGACGCTGCCATTCCTTCTCAACGAATTTTATGTATGAAAGTCTGCCATTGTTCTTTTAACATTGTAGAGTTTTAAGCTCATGATTGTCTCTGAATACTGGCCTTAAGCTGTTATCAGTAAAAATAATTATAATTACGTGGAAGTCCTTCTGATCAATTTCAATGAGACTGATTTTATTTACTGTGGCAACTATTAATTTTAAATGAGATTTTATAATACCCAAAGGTAAATATGTTAACACAGATGCAACAAATCATACGAAGGTACCAATTGGCTTTCAATTAATATTAGAAGATGAAGCTCTCTAAATTGACACAAGGAATCAGCCAAGTTTGAAAAAGAATCGGACCTCCCCCCCCCCCCCCCCATAACTAAAAAACTATTATTATAATTATACTTATTATAATTACAGGATCCAATATTTATTTTTTAATAATATAATTTTATGGGTCACCATTTACACAAGGTCTTTCACATATATAACACATGGAATACATGCAAACATATATCATCTACAAATCCTCTAACATATACAGTTGAAGCTGTTGTATATAAGGTAATCATCATCAGATTGTAAAAGTCCACAGCTGACCATGGGTCTCTGTCATAGTAAAGATTTGTGTTGATCGCCACCCAAACTAGGCAAAGTCTGTACTGTGGTAATCTGATGAATTATATACATATATACACCCAAACACAGGTCAAACAGACATGTTCATGCACATAAATGTTTGACCTGTCCGTAGATCAAACACGGGACCAGTGGCTCAGAAGGCAGGGTTGCTATCAACTGCACCAACCCGCCAGTCGCTTAGATACACATACTTATAATTTTATGTCTAATAGGGACTTTTGGAATACCATGAATCTTAAATTTCATGAATAAGTATAATAAAGTTCTTGAGTTATTAAGATCTGGAAATTGCCATTTTCAACCAACTTCAAAAAAGGAGAAGGTTCACAATTTGACTGTATGTTTTTATGTGTTACCCCAGAAGTTTTTTCTAGGCACTCATTGTTTCACTTACTCATCAAATCATATCATTTTATATAAACCTAGATCATTAGGTGTATACAAACTTTGTCATAATGAAATTATTATAGTTTAAATAAAAAAATAAAACATGAATACAAGAGAAAATATCGAAGGTCATGTATTTATTTAGATTAATGAAAGGATAAAATTATTTTCAAAAATCAGTGATATCAAAATACCAAATGTATCAAAAACATTAATGTGAAAATTGGGCAAAGTTCTGTGTTTAGTGCACAAATAATAATTAGGGTTGATGGTTTGCTGATTAAAAGTTGAGATTTAAATGGGTGCCAAATTCTGTGGTGTTTCCTTAAATCATAGTTATAATTAACTTTAGAAACTTGCGATATTCAACTTTAGACCTTTATAAAGATTACTCCATGATTACTGTAAGACAATTGTATATAAAGACCACAGTCATAAAATAACACACAAAATCTTTAGAATTATATAACACAAGAAGGCCTTTTGTTGTCTATAATATTCCTCTGTGTAGAACAAGTTTTCTGATTTTTTTTTTCGTATCTAGGACCATTATTATATAACCATTTAAATAAGATTTTATCTATATCCAAATTGGATTAGTGGTGACGGGGATAGTGCACGCAATTGAGGGAGGGCGGGAGGTGCTCTTCATACTAGGTAAGACACATCATTTTATTTTATAACGCGGATATTTGCGAAGTAAATTTTTCTAAAAGCTTTTAGAAAAGTTATGAAGTGTTGAATGATTTTTTAAATTTTTTGTGTAATCCATAACTAATTTAAAATATTTATCCCTTTTGTTTTCTTTATTTTAAGTTATTTGTTTAAGCTGAACGCACATTTGTCCGCACGGTACACGCCGTACGTGCCGAATTTTAGAATTCGTTGTATGAAATCATATGAAACCTAGCACCATACACCCGCAACGTACGCGCCGAATTTTATAAAATGTGGTAGGTATCTGAATATTGAAGGACACATTCTGATGACGTCATATAACGCGGCGCGTTCGGCGTGTGCTGATACTCAGTGTTGTCTAATGTTGCCAACAGGCACGTAAGGTGCGGACAAATGTGCATTCAGCTTTGTATGTGAGGAGTAGCAATCATTTATAAACTTTATTTATTAAGTCCTAGTACAAAATACTTCACATAATATACAAAATAGTACACATCACCTACAACAAATTAGACCTCTACTCCCAGTACTAGTTAGAAACTGTATGATGGCAAAGAGTGGGGCTAGTTCATTGTATTTGATACAGTAATCAATTACCTGTTTGTACATAGTATAACCAGAACATTCACATGAAGAAAACATTGTTTTTTTTTTTCAAAATGTTATGATTACATTAACAAATCTCAGACTTTTAAGATTTTTTTTTCCTAGTTTGGCAACTTCCAATGGATTCTGCCACCATCAAGTATTTTAAGAAAGTCACAGAGTGTATTTAACTAGTTTCATTACATATACCTACACAAATTTCGAATATGAATTCATGCATATTATTGTATTTGTAGGCTAAGTCTTGTGAATAAAGAATTATTGTTATATTAATCATTATTATTATTATAAAACTTATATAATAAACTAACAATCTGCCCCGGCTTCACAAGTGTGATTTATGTATCTTGAACAGCGCCACCGACCAGGTCCAATTGTGAATCTAAACCATTCTTGAGTCAACTTAATCACTTACCTACACATTATTTCATCAAAATCGGTCCAGCCGTTTAGGGAGTTCTGTCACATACACATGGACAGAAGAATTATATTTATATATTATTAAACATATAAACTTTCCTCTTAAATCATTTGGTCTATTAAATGAAAACTGCATCAAAATCCGTTGTGTTGCTTAAACAATCTAAGCGTACAGACGACGGGAAGCAACTTTGTCTTATACTATATAGAGAAGCTTAAAATTTAACTTTACAAGTTGTTCTAATTTATAATGAACAATGAAGCTATTTATAATATTGCCAAATAATTCTATTTCTTTTTCATAATTTATATTTATTCAATGATGTAATTCAGTTTTTATTCCTTATAATTCTTATATTTACTAAATAATAAATGCATGTTGTGATTACCCATAAAAAGAAATACAATTATAATGTGTTTAATTTGTTATGAAAATGATCTTTGTATTACTATTGTAATTTCTGTTGGTAATCCTAATAAATAAATAAATAAAACAGACAAGTCAGATATTTATTTTTTGATTGACAGATGAATGTTGTACATTCCTATAACTATGATTTAAGAAATTACTCTTTAAGGTCGGCCACATACATACGGAATTCCGTTTCGGGATTCCGTTTCGATATTCCGATTCAGGATTCCGAACGCAGCAAGTCCATATAAAATCTATGACCTGCCACACACATACGTTATTTTTCCGTACGGAATTTCTCCGATTCGAGATTCCGTATGACCCCCTGTGCGTTCGGGATCCCGAACGGAAAAAAGCCGCTCTGAACGCACGTCTTCCATAGATTTTGTACGAATTGCAACACACATACGTAAATTCCGTACGGAATGCGCTCAGTGTTCGTCGCACGACCGAAGCGAGTGGGTGTATTTATGTATGTTTTTACATTTACTCTTGTATGTGTATAGCTTTTCGTAACCTTTCATCTTATTTTATTTAATAATTCATCGATAGAATTTACATATTACATAGTATTGACTATATTGCAAGCTTAGTGTGATAAGGGGATGCACCTAGTAAGAATAATACAGCAACAATGGAATTTGCAATTAGAAAATCGTCATCATTATTCGCTGGCAGAATGTCTAGACTCAATGGCTAATGTCTCTCAACTGACCCTTGTTATTCCGAACGGAAAAAAAATGTGTGTGTGTGATGTATTCACGGAATCCCGAAACGGAATTCCGTATGTATGTGGCCGGCCTTATTTGCAAAGTGTGACAATTGAGGAAAATTTAGATTTTGGAAAAGATTAGCATATTCCACTCTTAATTTTTGAATGAACTTATACTAATAAACTTACTTGCAAATATTTGTATTGATGGTAAGATGTAGATTGGTAAGTTAATTATGTTTGACTTATTCACATCTGTGTGTATTCTTTGTAGGACTGGTATCATGGTATCACACAATTGTTTTTGGGATTCTTCATCGCCTGGAAAATGCAGCAATAATATTTAACACAACAAATTGATTAATGATTTATTAATTATAGATTACAAAGAGAATATTGAAGATTTAAAATAAAGATAAAAAATTGTATTTAGCAATATTTATTTACCATCTGCAACAAATGCCTTCACCAAATCTACAAAAAAAGTATGGCTTTGAGGGTCTACATGTTGCAAAAGTTCAACAAGTTGCAAGGAGAAATCCTGATCTTCAAATAAAGCAGGCTGTTTCAATGCAGTTACTGCATTCCTAAATATTAATTCCCTCATTTTTTGTAATGCATTCTGTACTACATGTGAATCAATTTGATCATAACTTTGCAAGTTCTGCAAAGAACTAAATAAATAAGGAAACACTTGTTTTTGTACCACATGCTCCTTATAAACTCTAAGTGATTTAGGAATAACATTTGATTGAATATCCTGCAATAGCAATCGCTCAAAGAGAGCTTGCTCTAAAGCTTCTAAATCAATATTAACTTTGGGTGCAATAGCCTGTCCCAACTCTTCTAAAAAGACTAGTTGTCTATCTGACGAAGGGTCCTCCACAGCTTTACAATTTATTGTAAAATGAAAAATGTTTTCCACCATATTATTTATTGTTTCTAAATTCTCATCTTCTTGCGAATTTTTTAAATTTATTGGTATGGGTATATCATCAGCATTATACTCATTTTCATTGGAAGGTTTTACTTTTGATACGCCCAATAAACCAGCAAATGGATTATTTGGTTCAGACATTATTTGGTTTTATGTTGAAAACAATAATAATAATTTGTAATATATATCTTTAACAATTAATTCACATCATACTACTGAATACTTGCATTTTAAGATAAAAAAAAACACACAATTTATTTACTGTACACAACAACGTCTAATAAAATACAATATTTGATAATTTGATCAAAAAGCGCTGATCGCTGATTATTGTTTCGATAACATTACTTGATAAAAATTTGACACCGACCACCGAGCCCAGTGTTGCCAACCTTATACGAAGTAAAATCTGTACTGGGTTCTTAAAAATCAGTATAAATTCCGTATGTCTTTATTATTAGTAAGAATATTGTATAAAAATACAAATAGCAGTTACAAAAAAACATACAAGGAAATACTTATTATCTAACGACAATTAGAATAATCTAAAATAATCGCGAAACCACCCATATATTGATTGACAATGAACTAAGGAGTGTAGAGTACAAGGAGAACCATCTTATAAGGGGCGAAAGTTGATAAAGTGTCCCACTATTTACTGAAAATAGAGGTTCCAAAACCTACCACAATAGCGCTGGCGTCTGAAAAACTACGATATGAATATAGCTGTTGTGAACGGAGTGAAGTCAGCTGAATTCAAATATTTAAAAAATTCATGACTAGAGTAGTTAGTAAAATGCCAGTATACAAAATCTCAATTATTTACGTTGTACAAAACCAAGCGGATTGGTCGGTCCTTGTTTATTTCTTCATCTTATTGTAATTACTTTTGGCGCTTTTTTTAATTTATCCTATGCTACTGCAGCGCCACCCTTATTGGACACGTTTTTAGGGACACTTTTCATATATAGAGATGGTCCTCCTTCTACTCTACACTCCATACGATGAACATAAGGATTGATAAGAATTTGATTAACCTATCTAAAATCATACATTTCTTTTGTGTTAAATTTTTTTTATAATTGATGAGGTTACTTCGGAATCAAAACAGGCTGTGCTGCCTAACAAATATTTAGTATATAGCAATCGCTCTATTATCTCAGTAGACAATTGATTTCGTTGTATTATTTTTATTATATTGATAGCTGAGAAAACTCTTTCCACAGCTGCACTGGAATGTGGCAAACTTAGCAGTGATGTAATAAATTTAGTCAGTTGTGGATATAACAAATTTCCATCAGTAGGATTCACGGTCGTCATACTTCTCTGCCAATACTTTTCTACTTTTTCATTTGCAACTGGGTTTATGATAGAATTATTTCTTAACTATCTCCATTTAAGAAACGTTTGAATATTTTCTTGTTCTATCAAATTTGATAAGTGGAGCGCCATATGTACAAATGACTCTATTCTGCGTGACGCCATTACTTCGGAGTTTAAAAATTTCAGGCCTTTAAAAACCTCGTTTCCAAAATCGTAGCGCATTTTCATTTGTCTTGCAGCTTCGATATAAAAATCAAGACATTTCAGTTTAAACATTTTGACGTTGCCGTCAGTAAGATCTGAATTGGATAATAGTTTAATAGCTACTTTAGTTCCCAAATAAATGTTTTCGTAATTAACATTTTTAAGTTCAGTTCTTGATAAATACAAATCATCGATATAACAATCTAATAGGTTCCGGTATGTTCTGCATATGGACTCGTGTAACTTATGAATTTGTTGCTGCGTTGCTTTTTAGTTGACATGATTGATGCACACTACACTGTTCATATATTAAAACTTGAATAAAAATATTAAAAAGAAAACAACATGAAAAGACGTCACCTCAAATGAAACTAATAAATTAAAATGAACGAAACAAAGCAAAACTCTTCTATCGCGTTTGAACAAAGATGAAATGGGCAATTCCTCCATTCAGTACTAGAATCTAAAACAACGAGATTCGGGAATTTCCCGTTCTCTACTTCGACTTGATTGATTGTTGCCATATTATGTACGACTGAAATTTCCCAATATAGAAAGGTAAGTTTTCGTTTGTTCATATAAAATGCTAACTAAACTACTGTATTTGTTAAATACAAAAATTTATCATTACTTTTATTTTATAACATAGAATTCCGTATAAAAATCCGTATGTGAATGTTATCCGTATGCGAGGTTGAAAATCCGTATAAATACGGATAAATCCGTATAGTTGGCAACACTGACCCAGCCACCGACCTATCTACGGGTTTAGATATTAATTTCTCATCAAGATTTTTGGAATGGATGCCTGTTTTTTAAGGTATGTCTGGATTTCATTCCGGTTCTTTGTTTATATACCGACATTTTAAATAGTAAATGATAATAATACTTTATAGTTTCACAATATGTTGATGTGTCACATTGCGTAGTTTTTGGGAGATTTTGACGGCACCTGAAGCGTTCTGTCGTTAAACATACTTCAAGCTGCCGAAGAAGATTAGCCCGTTTATACCATCAGTCAAGTATTCCTCTGCAAGATACAGGAGTATACAAGCTTGATTGTGAATGTGGTCTCTCTTACATAGGACAAACTAAAAACCCAATAAAAATCCGAAGAACACATAGCTAATATGAATAATCGACACTCAGGGAAGTCGGCAGTGTGTCAACACGTACAGGATTATCCCCGTCACTACATCGGATTTTAAAGAACACCGATTTTTTCCAAGGATGATTCGCGAGGCTATTGAAATCAAAAAGCATCCTAAGTTTAATAGAGAAGATAACCATCTGTTTGGGATTCTATGATTGATAAAATTAAATTCCAACCTTAGCTACAACTGCAAGCCTTCAAGATACTATTTATGCTCATTATATTATATATTTATATTTATTTATTTATGTCCACCAACAATATACATTCAGGAAACAACAAAATATATGTGCTTACATCTGATTCTGCACGGATCTACAATACAAGTACAAAGTAAAAAGTACAAATATATGTAAGTTTTATTAAAATTATGCTAAGTGAATGATGTGACCCATAGATATCTACCATCTATATCTATGCTCGATTAAGAATTAAAATGCGGATGGTTTGTCGCTCCTGAGGACTAAGATGGATATTGGATAAAAATTGTGTATAAACAAAAAAAACTTACACTAGTTTTCTAGAGAGAGTTTATTTATTGTGGCAATGACTATAAGGCCATCAGCTAAAGAAAACACTATATGATAAAAAAATATTCACAATAACCACGCTAGCATCACGAATAGTTCGGCTCGGCCAACATGAAATAGCAGCTTAATACTGCTGTGTTTGGTATGGTGACTGTAGGGAACCGGAGACCCTTTTTCACTTAAAAGAAGGCATACCATCTGGGTCCACAGGGGTGACAACGCATCTGCATTTTAACACTTTCACCGTCCGATATTCAGTTGTGTTTGAACACAATAATGAGTTAATATCAATGAACTATTTGTAGTACACGGGACAGCGAATGGATTAATTCTTTAAGTTGATGCGTGACATTGTGATGTTTTTACAAGATTTTGATGTAGCTAATTCAGCAGAGAGTCAATGATGATAGCTTGCCAGGTTTTCAAGTCACCTACGCGAACAAAATACCTTGAGGTTTATATCACCATCGGATCACTTGTTTCCTTGGTTCTTATAATAGTTATTTTACATGTGCAGACAATTAAAATAAAAAATCGCACTAATCTCAGGTATGAAAATCCAAATCAAAATATTATTTAAAAGATAGAACTTAAGCAGCAATTTTCCTGCGGCCAGATTGCCGCGAAAAAGTAAAAAAGTGAACATTAATATTGACTTGATCCCAAACAGATAAGATGTAGGTGTTAACTCTGAGTGCTAGCCACTGACTATATACCTCTTAGAGTAATAACATACATACGTATATGTACGTATACAATTTTACATAAATTGCGTCAATATAATTGTCTCGCTTTTCTTATTTTTATTTTCAAATAAGGCAAAAGGAGACAAATATATTGAAAGATGTTGAGTGTAATTCGTGCGTGGAAATAGAAATGTCAAGTGGTCATCTTTGGTCTCTTTCTCTTTTTGGTTCTCTTCTATACCAAATGTAAGAGTAAATACACTCGTATCTTCTGATTTACTAGAAAAATAACATTCCTATTGTGGTGGTATTATATGTGACGTTACTTTAAAAGACAACGTCTTTAATCTATAGTGATTTCATTCGCAATCTAAGCAATCGATATCGATATAGTTGTTCTGGTTTAGTTATTTATTTTTAATTACTTTATTATAAGTCTAAATATATTAAAAAAATACGACTAGACTTATTATTATTCGAACGACGAATTAAATTGTTTTCTAAATTAAGTGAAGATGATTATTATATTACAGTAGAACGCTGATTATCCGAATTAATTGGGACCGGGGTCGATTCTGATAATCGAAAATTCAGATAATCGGACATTACAGACTGGTATGTAATATAGAAAAACGAACTGTCACACATAGAATAAACTTTATTTAGTTTATAAATAAAAACCAGCTTCACCCATTTTTTCACTGAACATTCGCACCTTTTCACATCAAATCGATCCTGAAATCGGTTGTCCAATAGATTGTTGCTTTAGAAACCACGTAAAAACAGCATTCTCAAGCTGTTCAACCTTTGCCTTTTTCATTACTTTTCGCGACGAACATCCATCACCAGTTTCAACACAATTCACAAAACTTAAAATCTTTTCACTGTTATTTTTAATATCAGTTAACCAAGTACTGTAAGTAACATTACTTACTTAAAGTACTTGGTTTTAATTTTTTATATTATGCTTAGGACCCACTCGGATAATTGGCGATTCGGTTAATCGGCGTTCCGATAATCGGCGTTCTACTGTACATAGTAAATATTCGTTTCGCAAACTTTAAAAACTACTAGTTAGGGAGGTATAAATACTAAGGCCCGTATTAATTTTTTATTAATTGACAGCTCCGTGGCGCAGTGGCTTAGCAATGAGTTGCTGCGCTTGGGGCCGCGGGTTCGAATCCCGCACGGAACAATTATTTGTATGGCCTACAAATAATTGTTCCGGGTCTGGGTGTTTGTCCT